CATATGACGCTTGTTGTGTGTCGCTCGTTGCGAAGTGTGCGACTCCAAGTGTCGGTTGTCGTGTGTCGCTCGTTGTCAGGTGTGCGACTTCATACGCTGCTTGTCATGTGTCGCTGGTTGTCAGGTGTGCAACTCCTTGTGTCACTGGTTGTCAGGTACGGTGTCCCATGTGTCGCTCCTTACCAAGTGTGATACCCTTGTGTCCCCCGTTGTCAGATGCGGTACGGCCCATGTATCGCTCGTTGTCAGGTGCGGTACCCCATGTGTCGCCCATTGTCGGGTGTGCGACTCCGTGTGTCACTGGTTGTCAGGTGCGGTACCCAATGTCTCGCCCGTTGTCAGGTGCGGTACGGTCCGGTGGGCACCATCAGACGCAGCACGCTGGGGATGGAGGAGCTGGATCAGGTGAGGACACTGTGGGCCCGACCCGAGTCAGGCAGAGCTGTTCCGCTAGCGAGCCCTGCCGAGAACCCACGCGCTGGGAACGAGCGCGTGGGTAACGACTACGCGGAAGCAGACTCAATCGGAAGCTGTTGCAATGGGCGTGGGTGGGATCAGGTAACGGTGATAGAATGAGGCGGCAGGTTGACGGCCGGTTGCGAGGATGCGTAATGGTCCCGGTAATGAGACGGTGTGGGCTTAGTCTGCAGCGCAGGCGCGGCCTCCTGTGTTGGCAGCGTCGTGTGGAGTGGCTGTGAGAGGCGAGTACTTGCGTTGTAGCAAGCGGTCTGTTGTGTCGCCGCTGCTGATGGTTCGATGGCTCGTTTTGATCACTTGGTGTGGCTTACGGGTTGTCAAGAGGCTCGCCCTCCCTCCCCCTCCCCCTGTCTCTCTCTCTCCTCCCCTCCCCCTCCCTCTGTCTCTCGCGGAGGGCCGCACGTCGAACTGCTGATCTTGATGCATTTCCTGTTCATCTTCAGCGTCCTGTTTTTCGCTCACGAACCGGTGACCGGGTAGGGTGGGCTGACGCAGTTAAGATGTGTTTTTTGCCGGCCGCTGCTCGGTCAGCAGCCTCCGTGCTGCGTGGGCGGCGAGTTAGTGAACCAACGGCACGGCCAAGGGGGGGGGGGGGGTAGAGGAGCGCTCCGCCCCCCCCCCCCCCGTCGCTTCTCAGCTCTGCAGTTTATAATTATTCACCGCGGATTGGCTGCTCAACGAAAGTTGAAAGTCGGTGTGGTATGCATTTTCATCGCGTTCAGCACCCCCCCCCCTGCCCCACCTTAAGAAAACCATGGTTGCGCAGTCATAGATGACGATGGTGACGAGAGTAAGGGCGGAGGGCGAACCAAACATGGGGTGAAGAGAAGAGGGAGAAAGAATGGGATAGTGGAGACGAAAGGTAGACCTGTAGCGAGAAGGAGACCGTGGTAAAGGGAATCAAGAGAGATGCAGAGACAGGAGGACGGCAGAATTGACAGGGTAGAATAGAGGCGGGGACGTTAGGAGAGAGCGACAAAGGGTGCTTTTGTGCCTGAATGTCAGCAAACAACTTGACGTAAATACCAGATTTACGTATGTTTTAGTGTTAATGTCAAATCTATATTTCGCTGCAGCGTCATAAGGTTAGGGTGACGTTTGGATTTTGAAGTGAGAGCGGTTCAAAGCTAAATAGAAACATACGGCAATTGAAACGTGACAGTATCGAAAGCATGGACAAGAGGGAAGCCAGGAGGTGAAAGAGCGGCGGTGATGCAGTGGATGACCAGAAATGGTAATGGACCGACTAAAGTCCGGGATATTTGGAGCAGAGTCTGCAATTCAAGTTGGAGGTGACGGAGACACATAGGTTAGTTGAAACCATGTGTTACCGGTTACACTATCTAACCGATGTCACTGGTGTTACGCTATCAAAGAGCTAGACAGCGTAACACCAGACAGAGGAGCGTTACTAAGAACCACTGTGGAAGAGGCGGAGCTGCGGCAGCCGCTCGTTAGGGTGATGTAGCGGTTTAATTATCGCTGCGACCATTAGCACAATCATGCCGAAGCGTTACACACAGACCGTGATGAGCAGCCAGCCGACTTCAGAAGTGGGGAGCCGTAGGGTATATTGCGTGCGGCGATGCTTGTAATATTCATGGCTGGAGCTGGATTAGGCGCTGTGAATAAATGTACTGCGGGGTGGGGTGGACTCCTTGTGCTCAAAGTTCCTTTTTAGGTTTACTCTCGAAGGTAGTGGAGCCGCTTTCCATTTTCGAGGATTTTTGCCTTCTTTTAACCTGCTCATCGTCAAGCAGTCGGTTTCTCCTGAGCATGTCAGGCTTATTTTCTTTAAATCTACCCATCGTCAAGCGGTCGGTTCCTCCTGATCATGCTCGATCGCCCGTTACGGCTTCCCAGCGCCGCATCCACGTCCAGCTCCGGGGCAAGCGCGCGAAACGCTCAGCCTATCGGTGCAGAACGCGCCGGCCTGGGCAACTGTGATCTTGTGACGTCACCACCACGCCCAGCTCAACCCATAGCCGCAGGACGCGCTGACCTGGACAACTGTGATCTTGTGACGTCACCACCACGCCCAGCTCAACCCATCGCCGCAGGTCGCGCTGACCTGGACAACTGTGATCTTGTGACGTCATTATGGCGCCCGGCAGGTGCTGAACGTGACCAAGGAGTTCGCCGTGGTGGGCGGCCTGAGCCAAGGCCAGGTGTACGGCTTCACAGTGGTGTCGGTGAACGACCACGGTACCTCCCTGCCGACCTCGGTCATCACAGTTAATGTCACCGCGCAAGGTGAGGCCCTTGTGAGAGTCATTGTCGACGGCACCGCGCAATGTGGGTGCCTTGTAAGAATCCCTGTCAAAGACGCCGCGCAACGTGAGTGCCTTGTGAGAGTTTCTGTCAAAGACGCCGTGCAATGTGAGTGCCTTGTGAGAGTTAACACCACCATGAGAGTCAATATCAATATCGTTTAGGTTGATACGTGTTTAGAGATGCTGGCTGCAAATGCGCACATTGGGCAGGTTGGATGTGTCTCCATGCATTCCAACAGCATCCTAAACGTCGTTGCAAAGATCGTGTGTCATGTTTGTGAATTGTTTGTCGTGTTTGTGACATGTTTGTCGTGCACACGATCGCCCGTATGGTTGCAACGTTCAGATTTCGTCAAGCGCCATCGGAGCCCTGCTGTGGTCGGTGCACTGGCGCGGTGACAGTGCATGTGCGGTATCTGCGAACAACTCTCTGCTGCACTGCACTAGCAGCATTGTCGGTTTTTGTTCGGGGATGGCAATAATATCACGTCTGCGCCAGACATGGAGGCGTCTGGTCCAGTCGTGCCAGACCTCTGGCGAGGTCTCCGTGCTGCGACTATCCGTCATTAGAAGGCGCTGGCTAAAGTGAAACAAATCACTGCGTTGCATCAATCTTGAGTACAGGGGAGGAACCACTGATGGACACTGGGGGGGGGGGGGGGATTCATTGTGATGTGGACGCATTGTAATCGCTTTGTAATCGTAAATGTAAACGCAATCGCCCTTATCGTCAGCCTTGTAATGTATCACTGAGTGAATGACGTGACTTGAAAGGTAAAACTTGAGTCATAAAATGCTCGCTGGCATAAACGCTCCCATAAAGCCCTCCCACCACGCGAAGTGGCAATCGCTGGCACCGCTTCTCCGTTGATGGATATCGTTACCACAGCTGGCTTTGGAAGGCCCGACGTTACCGCGGCTGGTTGCAGAGGGCCCGACGCTAATGACCCGGCACGTTTCGTGGTATTCACCAGCCACTTCGCCCACATATTCGGAGGCGTGCGCGTGCTAACGACGGTCACGGTTCGCAGCGAGTGTAGTAAAGCCGCTGCTGGCAATGCGTGGCGAATGTGGAAAATCGAGACGGTTCTCCTGCAGGCCTGAACTCGCGCCTGTTTTACATCAATAGCGAAATAATTGTTGGCAGCAAAAAAGGAACCGGCTTTCAACCTCTGCAATATCGGGACGGAAATTGGCTGCACTTGCCTGCGGCCTGATCGCAGACCACAAATGCCTTTTCTGCGTACGACATGCTTGAAATCTGGCCCTCTGTTCCAGCTCCGGCTAAGCGCATCTCTTGTCTCTCGACCTCCCCAGCCTCCCCCCCCCCCCCCCAATCCTGCCGATGCCCTGCGGCGCTGTTCCGCCCCGTGGAGCCTCGGTTTCCGGCGCGGCGCTCGCTCGTTAAATTAATCCGACCCAGAGCCGCTGGGATCGAACGGGGGCGGGGGGATGTCGCGCGGGGAAGGGGAGGGGTAACCGGTCATTTGGAGCTGTGGCCAGTCTGTAGTGCGTTGGTGAGGGTGGGTGAGGCGTGCAAGGAGAGACTAAACGATACATATCTTGTCGGGGCATGAATATATTGTCATTGGTTATTTATGTTGGCTTTGCAAGAATATGGTAAAGGGAGGATATAGGATATCGCAAGGATATGTGCAAATATGCGTCTTTCTTTCTCTTCTTTTCTGTGTTGCCGTTTTGCTTTTGTTAACTGGTCTTTGCTCATATATACTGTCGTAGTTATTTGTACGCGTGTGTACGCCGGAGATATCAAATTTTTGCATTCTTTTTTCATTGCCGACAACAGATGACGTCATGCAGAAGGCGATGACGTCACACCCGCACAGTCTGAGCGTAACCGACCTATCAGCGACCGAGCTAACCATCAGCTGGGCGCCGCCACTCATCTCCCATCCGACCGATCGTATCCGCTACAAGTGAGTCATGATTGGTGCATCCGCTACCAGTGAGCTCCGATTGGTGCATTCGCCACATGCTAATTTTCATTGGTGGATCCGGCGGAGCTTCTGCCTTGGAAAGCTGGTGCCGATGCCACGGCTGGCGGCGCGGGCCTAGGTTGCCATAGCAATATCGTGATATATATATATATATATATATATATATATATATATATATATATTATAAATCAGTGATTGTTCTCAACCGCTGTATCTGAGCATGCGTTTCTAGCTCATTCCCCCTAACATTGCCCCCCCCCCCCCACCGGGCTGTTCAGATGCTGGTATGGGAGGTCAAGAACTGCCGTGCATTGCCAACGCCAACGATATAAAAAGAAGCGTTTTGCTTTTTTATCACGGCAGACCTGTTCCCACGGACCACCAGTTGTTAGTCTGGACAACCTTTCCCCTCACCTGTACTCGTCCAACTCCCCCCGCCCTCCGTGCATGCCACTGTGTGTTTATTGCTCATTTTATGGTCCTGAGTGTTGCTTGACGCGAGACGCTGGCAGATGTGGTACGAAGACGAACATTTTCGTGTTGGAATCGCATAGCTGGCTTCGCGAAAGTGTAGAACATCGTGTCAAGTGCTAAGTGCTAAGTCACATCGTGCTAAGGTTACAGTTCTTTGTTGACTTACAACAAGTCTGCTTTCACTTAACATTTCTCGTAATTGCTGGGCTTCTGAGAGTGTCCCACCACGTTCGTGAATTTACCTTTTCCTGTTTTTGAATTTGTTCCCTTCTCCAAATTTCACGCTGCAGTTCATGTTACCTGCCGTTTTCCCGCATTGGCATGTTCCAATCTTTTTGGCCTTGAACCCTGCAGCGACGTTGACCTCCGCGGTGACCTTGACCTCTGCGGTGACCTTTGCCGCAGGATTTCGTACCGCGGTCCGAACGCCACGGACTTCACCAACGTGACAACGGCCGCTCTCTCTCACCGACTGCAGGAGCTTCAGCCCAACTCCCAGTACATGTACGTCATCACAGCAGCGGCAGAGGCTGCTCACTGCCTTGCGGGCGGCAGCAATACCTCCCCCCTTCCCAACACTTTTTTAGACTTCCTGCATCCGACTTCGCGACCAGCTGCTTCAGTTTTGCATGTGAAAGAAGTCGATTCCACCAGGTTCTGAAGTTTGAGTGAAATTTGCCGGGTACACTGTGCTGGCGGAACCAACCACGGCTAAAAATATGCGTTTTGTCTTGCAAGTCATCTGTGTCCAGTGAATATGCGTGTCGCCGCGGTGTGTTGGCGACGGCAGGCGACGGTCGCATGCATAACCCAGAGTCAGCACAGAAAATATAATCTATAGACCGTAGGGGGGGGGGGGGGGGCAGTTACGCAGTTGAGAGGCGTTGCTCGCAATGCTGCTTTTTGTGCGCTTCCTCTTCATTTGGTTCTTTGCAACTTGGAAACTGCTAATTTATCCGTGGTATCGAAGGTCGCTCCCCAGTCGGGTTGGTTCTGCGATGCATCGGAGGCTACTGCTCGAAGTTGATGGTTGCTGTCTGTCCTGAGTCAAACTGCGCCATGAAATCGTTTGCGCGAGGCATCGAGGGCTTGCTGAAATTCTTTTGTGTAATGACGTTTATGTTTGTGTGGTTAAGAGAGTGACTTTTTTGGAGAATCTTCTAAACGATCTTAGCCCGGAGGATCCGCTGAATCATGTGCTAATAAAGGATACAGTTTGAAACCGTTTTGTCCCCAAAACCGTACAGAAGTGCACGTGTGATTTTCATGTTTGATTAAGGTAGACGACCAGTTTTTAACATGGTTTGCGCTTGAAAGCGTACCCACCAGTCTGGGTTGGAAGTGACCAGTGCCTGGCATGTTTTTCTATGTTCACGCTTCCAGTGACCTTTTTAAGTTTGTGTATTCACCCCTTTGTAACAGTGCGAGCGTTCTGTTACACTGCACTTTCAGTTCGGCAGTGAGTGTTTTCTGACTGCGCCCCTGTCTGTTAGAATTTGTGTTAATTGTGCTTGGTTTGTTATTTAGTGCTTTCACCTATCCGGGAACGCAGCCACAACTGTCTTAAGTAGGGGAGGGGAGGGGGGGGGGGGGGCGCACCGAGTATGTGATACGGCGGCGCGATGCTCACTGAGTACTCACCACGCCGATTTTCAACTTTCTGTTGGGAACCATCTATGGTAAAGAAAGTAGAAATTCAGGCTCAAGAGGGATCCCTCTACTCGTATCTGTGTTTGTAGCAGTATGTTCGCGACGGTATGTTTGTGACGGTATGTGTGTGACGGTATGCTGGTAGCACTATGTTTGTGACGGTATGTTCGCGACAGTATGTTTGCGACGCCATATTTGTGACGGTATGTTTGTGACCTATGCTCGTGACGCTATGTTTGTGACGATATGTTTGTAACGGTATGTCCGTGACGGTATGTCCGTGACGGTATGTTTGTAACGGTATGTTTGTAACGGTATGTTTGTGACGGTATGTGACGGCTCTGTGCCTCTCACAGCGTGTTTATCACGGCGCTGAGTGGAACGGGAGAAAGCCGGCCCTCCGAGACACTCCAGCTGTGGACCAGACCGGCTTACCCTGCGTATGTGGAGGTACGTGGCAATCAGCGCACGCGACTGGCACAGATATTTCAACTGTGGACCAGACAGGCTTACCCCGCGTGTGTGGAGGCACGTGGCAATCAGCGCACGCGACTGGCTCAGGTATCTCGACAGTGGAAGCGCGCGAGGCACGAGGCGTCCGTTATATAGATTGCCGATTGTAGATTGTCGGTTGTTGTTTTGATTGTAGGTTGTCTTTGGAGCGTTCAGTCAGCAACAGGCTATCCCGTGCTACGTGTGATGGTTCTGCTTCTGCACTTCGTGTGTTTCTGATGTGTGCATAATACGTTATTAAGTTCAGTTGGACACTTCTGCAAATGAGACGCCGCCAGTCCAAAGAGCGGTTTCCTTAGTCGTAGGGAAATCATTCCAAGTCTGTGTGAAGATTTTCTCATTCCAGATGCAGACTTTCTGACCTAGCGCAAAAACATTACAATTTCGGACATGATGCTGTCCTTGTCATGCAACCCCTTACCAACATTCATTTTTTTCGGACATCACAGCTCCAATTCATGCCGTAAGCATGCTACTGCCTTAAGTCACGACTGTAGCGTTCCCAGATTCCGCAGGTCATCGGTGACGTCAGCGTGCCAATCATCGGTGACGTCACTGTGTAGGGTAACCCCGGGGGTCTGTGATAACACAGGGTTGGTGCATTATCGCCATCTTCTTTTAGCTTCTCCGTCTCCGTAAATCCAGCCTCAGATTTTGGCCGCGGAGATGGTACTCTAACCTAACCAAACCAAAGTACTCTGACCTGACCAAACCAAAGACTCTAACCTGACCAAACCAAAGTACTCTGACCTGACCAAACCAAAGACTCTGACCTGACCAAACCAAAGTACTTTGACCTGACCGAACCAAAGACTTTGACATGACTAAACTAAAGACTCTGACCTAACCAAGTCGAAGCGCTCTGACCTGACCAAACCAAAGACTCTGACCCGACCGAACCGAAGACTCTGACCTGACCAAACCAAGGTACTTTGACCTGACCAAACCAAAGTACTCCGACCCGGCCAAACCAAAGTGCTTTGACCTGACCAAACCAAAGACTCTGACCTGACCAAACCGAAGACTCTGACCTGACCAAACCAAGGTACTTTGACCGAACCAAACCAAAGCACTCTGACCTGACCGAACCACAGTGCTCTTATCCGACCAAACCGAAGTTCTCTGACCTGACCAAAAACCAAAGTACTCTGACCTGACCAAACCAAAATACTGTGACCTGACCAAACCAAAGCACTTTGACCTGACCCAACCAAAGACTCTGACCTGACCAAACCAAATTTCACTTGCCCGGCTTTGTGCTTCCGAGTGGTGGTTTTCTGTGGCCGCTACCGGCTTCTTTCACGGGTGATGGCTGTCGGCGTCTTCACCGGCTTCCCTCACGTGCCGTCAACAAAACTTTCCCCTCCTCCGAGGCTGTTATTCTAGGGGTTTCTGGGAGGACGCTGAAAGTTGTGGAGACCACATAGTTTCGGTCCCGGTGTTGGCCCCAGCGCTCTCTGCAGCTGCGTGAAACTTCCGCCCCTGTGAGTGGTCGTTTGAGTTTGCCAAGAGCCGCCAAACCATTTACCGACGCCTCTGTGCGGTAGGCTTGTAGTGTAGTGTGGCAGTAACCAAACGAACGAGCTCTCCGGCCGGGCTTGGGAACAGTTAAGTGAGCCAGTCTGCTGGGTGAGCGTAAACACGTCCGCCGGTTGCGTGACTAGGCGGAGCCTGAGAGTCGTTTTCTGATTGCTCGCTTTATGGCTTCACGTTGGCCAGCCCAGCGTCCCAACGGTACGAAAGGCAAGGCAAGCAGAAGAACATAGCGTGAATGAGTTACGGTGGAGGGGAGGGGATGGCAAACAGAACAAACAAGAGTGAAAATAATGGAGACGTACTGGTTTGCTCGCGCGAACTGGTGTTTATTGTTGTGCCGCTTTGAATTGTAGTTTTTATTTTAAGAAGAGAACGGAAAATATGCAGACAGGTAGCAATGTTGCGGTGACATACCATGCCGTTTCGTGGGTCGTCCCCACGAAACGGAGGGGTGGGCGCAGGAGACCGACAGCAGAACGCTCAGCCGAAGCGTGTGACGGCGAGAGGGACCCCAGCTTCGGCGTAACCGCAGCTGCGGCCAGCCAGGCTTTATGATGCAGTCATCCGAGCGCAGCGCTACAGAGGCCGGCGCGGTCGAGCCTCACAGAGAGCGGTGGTGCGACAGCATCCTAGCGCAGTGCTGCAGAGGCCGGCGCGGTCGAGCTTAATCGAGGGCGGTGGTGCTACAGTCATCCGAGCGCAGTGCTACAGAGGCTGGCGCAGGTGACCGTCAGAGAGCGGAGGCGGCGGAGAAAACAACAGCGCTGACAATGGAAAGCAGCAGCTGTCCATAACTCATCACAGGTGGCGTGATGAGTTGCAGGTTTCTGATGTGAGTGATGCTTGCAAAGAATGAAACAACGGGCGCGGAGTGGATTCATTAGGTTTTTGAACGTTTTGTTTAGCTATATACAGCTCCTTGTATTGCGAGCTAGATGAATTAGGTTGTGGTTATATGGATTTAGACCTTCGCTCTCTTCCTGCAATTCTGCTGCGGACGCTTCGGTGTGGTTACAATTCTCTACCGGGGACGACACGTTGTTCGCTTCCGACTTCTGCTTCGGTGCAGTATGATCAGCATCAGGCGACATTTCGGCGCGCGGACGGTGTAAAATGTCTTTCATTGGTCGGTCGGGCCGTAAAATGTTCTCTTATTGGTCGATCCAGCTGTAAAACATCCTGTTATTGGTCAATGTAGCGGCCGCGGGCCAATGAGAAGACGCGTTTGTTCCAGGTCTGCGACCGGCACGGGACAAAATTAGGAAATTTAGCTGCTGGCCAAATTACTCCCCGGTTTTACTAGCTAACTTGGGCTGACACGTATGGCTGTTGCCTGTTGTAGCCATGGAGAACCATGTCGACCTCAGTGGCGTTTGGTGTAACCAATCGTCTGTGTACCAGACTCAACAACATGCCCCTCCACGGATGGAAAACGTTTCCCCTACCCCAAGCTCAAATCATATGAAGTCGATCCACTTCGCGCCAAATTGAATTAAGCGCAATACAACAAGTGTACTGACGTGAAACTGGGTACAGCTAAGACCAATTATGCCTTCCTCTACGGCTAAATGAAAAGTTATCCGGATGATTTGCCTCATGATGAAAGGTTTTGCTGTGGCACGTCCAATTAGGACTACGAATCACATTTAGTTGAGTGCTTGAAGCTTCTGTTCAGTTTTTCGCAGGAAATCTGGCATGGTTGTAGACGCTGTAATAGGGACGCATGATCAATTGCATGCCAAATATCAATCTTAAAATAAAAACCAAAATGTACCACGAGCTTTCGGCTCCAAGCCACGTACGACTGACAGGTGTTTTTCCCCAAACACATTTCCCAACATGCACAAATTGCCACTTGCCTCAGCATTGCCCGTAACTACTGTTCGGGAGAGATCATGTCTCTCGAAAGCAGCTCTCGAAAATATGGCGTGGGTGTGCCATAAGCGCTGGAGCAAGTCCGAACGTTGGAAGGAAGGATGGATGTGGCCCGGCTCTCAGTTTTACAAGGTTATGCTATGTTGGTGACAAGCCAGGTTGGCCATGTGTGTCGGCCTGAAACTAGTCATCGTGTTTAAGGCTGGTTTCGAATTTCTTATATGAATTCAAGGGCTAATTTTGGTCTCGGTTCAGTCACGGTTTGCTGAAAGAGGCTCGATGCGAGAGGCAGTGCTAAGATTTAGAGCGTTAGCATGCCACTGCAACGCATGCTCATTAGGGCGTGGCAAGTCTACTTAAGCGCGCGTCTCCAAGATGTTCATCGAACCGATACTGGACAGGTCTCTTGCTCTCGCCTCGCCTCGTCGCACCGAAAACTCGTCTCGCCCTCTCGTTTCTCAAAGCCTGCATGTGATTTGTGCACTTCGTTTTTTTTTTAAAGGCATTTGCCAGATAGACCACAGTCACAGGTATGCTAGCGTTGAAGATGCGCTTGACAGGGCGGTGATGTCAAGGCTGACGGCACCGGTTTGTACATTATGCATATGTGTTTGTATAATGTATGTTTTTCACATTAAGTTTGTGTTTGTGGCGGTTTGTTCTATGTTTTTTTTAAGGGTGGACTCACTAACCTAAGTCAAGGAAAGACAAAAACCTACCTCCCATGGGTGGCTTTTGGTCGAAGGCTTGTTGTACATTTCGGCTTGTTTTCGAGGCTCCGATGTGAACTCCTCGTCTGGTGGTACATAACCGGCAGGGCGCCCGGTCATTTGGGCTTTAGGGCGCATCGACTACGCGATCATACAGCGCCCTTGACAACCAGCTGGTACTGCTCTGCTGGTACTGTAGTCTGCTGGTACCCACATCTGCTGCTCCCCAACTGTGAGCGAACACCGCGTACAGCATATCGTACCGCACATCCGCCGCCTGTCGACAGCTGCCGACCATCCACCCGACGGACATGGTGAAGGAGGGCGGCAGCATGACCGTCCTCTGCATCGCCATGGCCTCGCCGGAGCCGACGGTGGCGCTGTACATTAACGGACGACATGTGCATGAGGTAAGAGTGGCGGTTTGGACCTGCCCCGAGACAATTTTTGGGCCGTTTGTTCCGCGCGATGCAACGAAGCTCGCGTTAAAAGAATGGGTCCTTGACGGTATTTACTGGCTTCTAAGAGCAAGTAGTTGTACTTTGAGTTTCATTGGTGGTCGGTCATAAGCATGTACAAAAACCTCACGTGAGACGCCGTGTGCGCTAACATGAGCCGTCGCCGGACCCTTTCGGACAGCGTAAAGCTTCCCCTTTTGTATCAATGACCAGTTTGTTTACGAGCCCATAAGCACTGCGGTGACATACTGCCGGGTTCAGTAGGATACTCGTCATACCTGTCCAGGGTCTATGCATGCTGTGACGTCGCATGTTCTGATTGGTCAGGAGCGCACCCGCCACCTGGTGACGTCGATTCGAAACGTGAGCCGTGACATGACCCAGGTTACGTGCTACGCCGACAACGGGTATGGCACGCCCATGCAGTCAACCCGGCATATCGTCATCAGCCGTAAGTGATGTCATTATGACGTGTGTGTGTGTGTGTGTGTGTGTTTAAGTGGCTGTGCGGGTGGTCAGATGGTCGGATCTGTTCAGATGATGTCATTCTATGATATGGGTCCTAAATGCATGTTGGGATTCCTGACAGAATTCCTGTTGCATTGATGCTACATGATCATTGCTGGTGAGGTCGAGACGTTATTTAAGACAGTTACGTTATTACTCTGGTAGTTCTTTTATGTTACGACTTACTTCCTATTTCTGTCGATCTTGATCGTACGGCGCTTGCCAATTCATAGGCTTTTCTACTGCAGTTTGAATAATGCCAGTGACGTCATCCGGTAATTTTTGTGAGGGAGTGACACTGTTCCGTCGCGTTTTGGCGGTATGGTGCCGCTGCCGTAGTGTACTCGATGGCCCATCGCCTTAGTAACCCCAACTGGGACTCTAATCCTCACCACCAGTGACCCAACCACTGTGGCCTTAAGTCGTTCCATCATGTCCTCCCAGCCTGTGGTCACAGCTTTGTAGACTGCGTCGGTGACCCCTGTCCCGTGACCTCGATTCGTCCGATCGTGGCCTCCTTTGTTTTCACGACGATTAGATCATCACGAAGACCTGGGTACATGTGATCGTCATCTCCTTTTGTTTGTGACACTTGGCCGTCACAGTGACCTCTGCATTTTGACCTCAGGTCCTCAGATCGTCACCTCTTGTTGAAAATCCCAGGTGTCTAGCCCGTTCCATTGACCCATTTCCCGTAATCTCAGGTCATCTGATGGTGACCTGGCTGTGAGTCAACAACGATGACCCCTGTCCTCGTAACTTGAAGTAATCCGATCATGGCTTCGTGTTTTTTAGTCCACCATAGTGACCCCTGCCCCTGTGATCCCGGGTCGTCCGATCGTGACCGCGTGCTTTGAGTTCATAACAATGACCCCTGTACCCTTGACCTCAGGCCGTCCGATCGTGACCTCGCGGCCCGAGTTCACGGCACCGGAGGGCAGCTCGGTGACCCTCCGCTGTAGAGTGGACGCCAGCCCCGAGCCCCAGATGGTGTTTTGGCGCCAACCCGCCGCCAAACGAGAGGTGGTCATCGACGGAGGCAACTTCGAGGTCATCACACAGCGCGGCCGCAAGGTCAGGGCCGGGGTCAGGCCCGGTGGCAGCCGTCCTTTCCTGATCTCTCGATTCTTAAGTCATTGATGGGCATAATGCGTTGGCATGATGACCGCGGCTTTTGATGGATGAGTCCACGCGACAGAAGTAAGAAATGCGTAGTTTTTTATTTTCGTTTATGGAACTAGGTTCAGATTAATGTCATGGGTCAGGACAAATTCAAGCGTCTAGTCCATGGTCGTGAGTCTATTCCAAGGTTGTGAGTCTAGTCCAAGGATGTAGGCCTAGTCAAAGGTCGTTGGTCTAGTCAAAGTAGTGGGTCTAGTCCACCGCCGTGGATCTAGTTCAAGGTCGTGGGTCAGGTCAGGACTGCACACAGGCCCGGCCAGCCGCCAGGTCGAGATTTGAAGTCAGGTTAGGCCTGTGAAAATGTTATAACAGGAGTGAAATTGGCCATGTGAGGATGACCTGACATGACATATCAATGACATTTGACACCTGACTCACCATGTCAAGGTCAGGTCAGGTGAGGATTGTGGATTATGCTGGAACTGCAGGCTAGGATCAGTCGGTATTTGGTCCGGCCAGGTCAAAACCTAAGGTCATGGCAGGCCTTGGGTGATCTTCCAAACCGAATCATGCCGATAGGGTTTAGTTGAGACGCATGACTGTCATTGAGCAACTGTTGCAATGTCGGGAGGTTTTCAGAACGCCCCGAGGTCTACTAAATGGGCTGTGGGATCTCACGTCCTGCATTTTTCGCGTCGGATCCGTTGCTCGGAAGGTAAAGTTTCGGGTGCGATTGTATGTTGAGTGAGGCTAAGAGTCCTACATTGGGATCTACCGGCAAAGTTGCCTAATAAAAACTTTGCAATCAGAGCAGGCCAGCAGAAATGTCAAACAAAAGTTTCCAAATCTGTGTATGCAGATATGGAGCTTTCTGGACCTCCTCTTCGGGCCATTGGAAGTCATTTAAGAGTTAGTTTGTCCGCTGCTATTTAATAAAAGCGATCCAGCAGCCTTAAAATCATTGTTGAAACATTCATCGGGATAGTCCCTGAAAGCTGAGTCCGTTGTTGCTGGCTGTTGTTTAAGGTTAAACGGATACCATTCTGAATCTGACTTGAGCAGATCAAGCGTTGGAATAAGATCAATGGCGCTTTCCCTGATGCACAGCGGATGCATAATACATTTGCTTTGGTATTGCCCCAAACATATCGGCGCTGAATGAGGCCTGCGTGCTCCTTGTGTGGCGACGACGCTCATGCTTAGCTGGAAGCTCAAACGTAATCATGCATGTGGCATAAGTCCTTTGGAAATGGATGTTAAGTATATATATATATATATATATATATATATATATATATATATATATATATATATACGTGAAAAACCAGCTCGCGTGAAAAAAAACCAGCTCGCTTTCTTTGAGTGCAAAAATACATTTACACGAACGAGGGGAATTTAAAGAATTATGCCGACAAGTTGGAAAATTTCATGGAAAGAGAGCACAGGAACAGAAAGGAAACGACAGACACCAGACATACATGGTTCAATGGGGAGCTCTGGAGACTTGAGCTCAGAGAGCTAACAAAACAGCAGGTAGGTAGCCAAGTTGGGTGCCACCAGGAGGCGGCGGGGGGGGGGCGTGACCTCTCACGAAGACAAACGCTTTCCACTAGATTGGTCAATTGTGTAAGATATCTGTTTAAATACGAAAAATTTGGCAATTGGCTCCTCCCTGAGAAAACTTCTGGTTGCGTGCCTTTGAGCCAGCCGATGTGGTCACTACGACCGAAGTGCGGAATCAGGCCGGAGTGTGGAGAGGGGGGGGGGGGGTGGGAGGAGTACGGCAGGGACGGAGGGTATGTCTTGTACGCACGACGTGCGAATCCACTGCAGAACTGGAATGGTATGGGGAGGTAATGCCCGGGCGGCTAGCACCTAAGGCTTTCACGTGGGGTACCCGGGTTCGAATCTCGGTCGCGCCATGGCCTCCGAGCGCTGATGAGGCTAATGTAGTCACCTGAGCCTCGGAACATGGGGCGTGACGACGCACGTCCTTAACACAAATTCGGAATGATCTGGCAAAGGCGGCAAATGACTTGCTGTAACTTAACGTTTTAGAAAGTGGAGGAGATGGGGATGATGCAGAGTGTTACCACGAGTCCTCGTACAGTTTTGGAATAGTCGAGAATATGTGATGACCTTAAGATAAACCGTTTCAATAGACTCAAGTGTAAGTCCAGTGATAGACCTAGGAATTGTGACCTAAAAACCGTGAGACCATATTCCTGGAGTGTTGGATTGAATTAAAGACCATGACTTTGCGGCAGGGCTGTAGTTTTATATTCAGTTGGGAGGGGGGTCCAGATAGGGAGAGAAACCCATTTGTTTGCGCATTTTAGGGAAAGGTTCCGTCATTTTCACTGCTCAGCGCCCCCCCCCCCCCCACACCCCTCCCTTGCGGACCCTGCCCATGACTCTGCGCTCTAAGCGCTGACTGACGACTCAGCCACCGGTGATGTGACTGACTCTGCTGTTCCCAGGAAGGAGAGTACACCATGGAGCTGAAGATCAGGGAGGTGGCGGAGGAGAACTTTGGTCAGTTCTTCTGTCACGCGGAGAACGTGTTCGGCTCCATGACCAACACGTTGACGCTCAAGAGACAGCAGGTGAGGAAGGGTTGAGTGGGGATGGAGGTGGGTGGGGAGGGGTTAAGGTGGATGGCAGCAAGTATGGGGAGGCACTGAGACAGGCAGGTGGTGAGGAGGGGGAAGAGGAAGATAGGAAGGTGGTCATGGTACATGTAAGGCATATAGAAAAAATCGGAAGGCGGAGTGGAGAAATGGGAGCCACAAGGTAAAGATGAAAAAGAGTGGAACTGAGAAGACGATAGATGGCTGAAAACAGGCTGCCGTCATTGGGGCCTTGCGACGCACTCAGCTTCTCAGGCTTCATGGTGTCGCTTTCCCCTCTTTCTGACGGGGAGAGCGGGTACTGCAGGGAATCGAACCCCATGCCTGTGGTTTCCCAGGCGCGCAGCTCAACCACTGCGTTAAACCATGTGTGAGATCTGGGAGGCTGCATATATAGCTAGTTCGTTGTGTGCAGACCGCTTTTGGATTTCGCTAATAATGCTCTAGACTGCGAGTGCAAAGAAGGGAAGAAGGGATGATAGCTCTGACATGCTATAGCTCAAGCAAATAATTATTCGAGCGCAATACCAGAGAAATCACGACCGTCCCCGACTCCAGACTCAAACCAAAAGCCTCGCATGACATCGGTGTGACCTGCCCTGATCCGGCTGTCGTCTGTAATGACCCCAGCGTGACCTCCTCTGACCTGGCTGCCGCTGGCCGCAGGAGGCGCCGCGGCTGTACGACCTGGGCGTGACCGAGTGCTGCCGACGGCTCAACGTCAGCAGGCCGTGTCAGCGCGCATGCGCGTTTGACGTCGACCTGGACGCCGTGCTGGCCGTCCCAGAGTGCGCAGCGGAGCTGGGCAAGCTCATGACCTGCGCTGCTGGTATGTTGGGATGAAAGATCGGACGGGGCGAGATGAGAGATCGCGTGGGGCTCGATGACAGATCGGATGGGGAGGGATGAAAGATCGGTGGGGCGGGATGAGAAATCAGTTGGGGCAGTGTGAGAGATCAGGTGGGGTGGGTCAGCGTTAAGAGCTTATAGTTCTTGTACTGACAACATTGACGTTTTCTTTGCTAGAAGGTACTGGTTAAAGCGACGTTATGAAGCAAGTATGGGCTTTATTGTTAATATAACCAACGACAGAGCCAATGCTTGCGTGATCATGTTACTTTACCAATACTTGGTAAGTATCTTGAAGCACGACTAATGTCATCGTTAGAACTCTAAATTCGTGGTACCAAAAGTCGGAAGCTTAAGACATTTCTTACATACATCAGTAGTCCCTTTAGGTATGTCCGAGTCACGTTATGTCAACCTGGGTCACGTTAGATCAACCTAATGCATGTGAGTCGAAGTGATCACAGTGGTTTGCCGTATGATCACCTCGGGTGCACTGGGGTCATTTTTGGTCACGCCAAGTGAACACGCCGGGTGAGCTCTGGCTGAGACACCCGATGATCAACGTCGGTAACGATGTGCGACGCTGGATCACCTTCGGTTTTAACTTAATCCACACCAGATTATGGTGAATTCATCCAGTTCGCGCTCGGTTCGTACCGCGATTGCACTGCTCTGTTGGCTCTGTGGTTCTGTCTGCTGGCAATCTTGACAGATGCTGCCACTGACGATGCCGTCGATTGTTGTAGTGTTGCCGGTGTTGGCCACGTCAACGATCCCCCTAATTTGGATAAGATAATAACATTAATAATAAGATCGGCGCCCTAAAACTCCAATCAACAACAACAACGATCCCCCGTGCCGACGCTCCTGACATCGTTAGCCGTACGTTTTGTTTCGGACTTCTCTCACCATCGAGGCCGACCATGTCAACGTCGGCGTCGGCGACAAATGACTAGCGTCTATACATTTATCCGATAGATGGCTCTGACCATCGCCGCTGCTGCGCGGACAAAATCGTGCCCAGCCGCTGCCTGCACTGGTGCCGCGGTAAGCCCGTGGACGGCACCGAGGAGTGCACACTTAGCTACGCGAAGGACATCGTTGACTGCTTCGAGGAGGGACGCGGTAAGGAGCGCGATTTTTAGGGGATGTTATTGTCGCGCGTTGTGCACGTGAAACGTGGATACACGATGAGGATAGGTAACACAGAGGGTAGAACATGCGTAAGGGCGGCTGTAAAGATGCTGAATTTTTGTATGTTCGACGGATGGCTGCTATGACCTACGTGACGTCATTATGACGTGTTTTAACGGCACTTTTCAGTCCGCAGCGTCTAGATCCCTGAAGCGCGTGTGGCCTTCCAGTGATGTCATTGTGACGTGTTTGAGCGGCGCTGCCCGGTCCACCATCACCAAGGCTAGCGTACCTGTGTGCTCCTGAGTGACGTCATATGACGCATTTCAGCGGTGCTGCCCAGTCGGCCGCTCAACGTGCGTGTGGAGGCGGTCAGCAGCAACGAAGTGCGGGTGCTGTGGGACCCGCCGGCTCGGAACGCGGACAAGGTGGAGGTGTACAGGTGGGTGGGAACTTGGGAAGTGACAGGTGACAGATAACAGGTGATAACAGGTGAACAGATAACAGTGACAGATAACAGGTGATTTGTGACCTGTCATATGCCAAGTGTTGGCGACGAGCAGAGACAAATATCGGTAACACTTTGAGGATGAATTAGGCAGACATGATGTGTGACACGCTGGATATTGCAATTGGATTTTGGAAGGTAACGTGTGGCACAGGACTCATGATATACGAACATCCGTCTGACGGCACCCAGCATGCCGGGGACCATGTGATGAACGGCTGATAGCAGCCCACATGCCGTATATGGCTTTTGGCATTTGCATGATGTGAGTTGGGGTGCAATATCTGGTAAGAATACACCGTATGTGACTTGAGCATACTCCGAGTGGTCCTGTCCGACGCCGCCCAACCAGCGGAGACTCGTACAACCTCGATGTGACTCACCATGACCCCGTTTAACCCCACCTGACCCTGCTTGATCCAGTCTGATGCCGCCATGACCCAGCTGTGACCCGCCAGACCTCGCCATGACCCAACGTGACCCCACTTGATCCCGCTTGACCCCGTGTGATCCTGCCATGACTGCTGTGACCTTTGCTGTGACCCCACCGATTTTGACGTTACCCGCCGTGACCCAATGTGACCCCCGCTGTGACCCGTCACCACGCCGCAGGGTGTACTGGCGGGCGCCGGGCGACAACATCTCCTCGCGCAACGACACGCGCACCACCTCCCTCCGTCTCTCGCGGCTGAGGGCTGGCGTCGAGTACGAGTGCGCGGTGAAGTCGGGCAACCATTACGGCGTCAGCCAGCTCACTGAGCCCGTGCTCTTCATGCCCGGGCGCATGTTCGTCTCGTCAAAGAGCACTGATAGTGAGTTGGATAGGAGGCCGCGGCTCGGAAGTGTGGTAAGGGGGCATATGTTAGGGGGCTTGCGAGTGCGACAAGTGATTGCAAGAACAAGGGCTTTGGATGTGGATTCCATCTTTCGTTTCATTTCTTTTTTTGTTTTGTTTTATTTTCCGTTCCGCTTTCGCTCTCCTGTGTCTGGTGTCTTTTCCGTTTCCCGTTTTTTATGCCGTTTGTTTGAATTGTAAAAAGCGTAATAATTAATAGTAATTTATAAATAAATAGTAATTATATAAAAACAAAAATAGTAATTGGAAGTGTAAAATGCTGCGCGCGGGCTGCACTAATACGGTGGAAATACCACCGCGGAGGAGTCCTTGTTGGTGATGTAGAGAAGAGAATGCGTCAGTACGAAAGCAATTTCTGTGTGAACACGGCCGCTGCTGCCGTATTGGCGACTTCGTCTCGCCCGAGAGCTCTAAGAGTGTGAGCTAGAGAGTGAGTGGGGTGTGAGTGCGGTACGGAGGATGAGGGGACAAAAGTGAGTGGGGGCGCGGAGGACGAGGAAACGAGAGTGAGTGGAGTACAGAGGACGGCTCAGTGTAGTGGAAGCGCATTTGTTCTGCGACAGGGGCCATTGTTTGGAGACTTGTTGCCGGCCTTGTTTTGACTCTTCCTGTTGCGGTTTCCGTTAGGTGCCGTGACGCTCATGGGTGTTAAGTCGGGTCACCACCAGAGTATCTCTGGGTGGTTATCAGTGTTATGTATGATGTCATTGGCATGTGTGTGTATATGCGCTGTGAAGCTATGAACCCGCTGTAGCCCGTTTTACCGTGACACCCACGTCCGTACTCGCGTCGCCGCAGACTACTACATCAGCACGGGCGCGGTGCTGGCCGTGGTGCTGGTGCTGGTGCTGGTCATGGTGCTGATGCTGGCCGGCGTTTGGCTGTACCGCCGCAAGAGACGGAAGGCGTCCGCAAGCGACCGCGTCAGCTTTGAGAACCCCAGCTATCTGAGAGAGATGAACCTCGAAAACCTGCAGGTGGGTCAGGTTATAGAACTCCTGGCTCACAGGAAGTGAACCTCATGCACAGGCAAGTGGAGTAAGTTTGGGAACTTCGGTGACATACATGGGGTGGATGTTAGCCTGGTTTGAAAAGCGCTGTGGGATATTGTGGTTCGGAGGTTTAGGGCGTGTCATAATATCCTCCAGGATCAAGTTAAAGAGCATGTACTGATTGTGCCCGATGAACCCGGAAAACCTGTAGGTAGGTTAGGTTTGAGGACCTCCGACTCGGTATGCGAAATCTCTTTCGATATCGCTCGCGATCTCTTGATGTGATCTCTCTCCGACTTGTGCGACGCGCGAGAGCGGTGACCTGATGGACCTAAGAACACCAACTTGGCTTTGCTGGGAGTTGGTATTTCATTATGTACTACGTGCAGTTCCATCGTTGTTTTTTTTCTCTGATAGTGCTGGTGGCGACTGATCTGCGTAAGGTATGTCATTCGACCATGTGTGAATTATGGCGGGTGTTGTTTCCTGTTGATCCAGCGCAAGGTCACGGAGTACTATGTGCAGCGCAGTGGTAAGTGCAATAGGACTATGATTGCGCGAAGTTATACCAGTTAGTATCAATAGCGTAATTACTGCATAGAACGACATAGTACAATTCCACCAACTTTCTTGCACTGAGAACCCGTTCGCCTTGTTGCAGCACACGTCCGAGTCGTCATTTACCGGCGGCCCCAATGGCACCAACGGTACTGTCACCAACGGCGACGCCAGCAATGGTTCGGCTGGTCGCCGACAGGAACCGCTCCAGTCGAGCGGCAGCCAATCAGCGTCGCCGACACGGTTCGGCGCACTGCGCAACGGCCTCGGATTGGTCGCGAAGGCGGCCGGTTTCAAACAGTTCGAGAACGAGCAGTGATTGGTGGACCCAGACGGGCTGGGCGGAACTTTGACGCGGCGGTTCGAACCGGTTCGATCCAGCTGGCGGCGGCCGCTTACGACCGGAGTGATCGGGGCACAGACTTGTCCGGCTGTAGTGAGTCGACGCCGGCTCGGTGGAAGAATAGAGTGACGCACTGACGCCACGTGATTAGCCCGTGATCACGTGACTGCCACGTGATCAGCTCGTGCCGTATACTCAGACGCCGGGGGAAGCCAGCCCTGCCACCAGGCGTTGTCTTCATTGTTCCCATCCGTGCGTCCATAGCTGGCGTGAACTTTTGTCGACCAATCGGCTCGCGGCCATGGCGGCTCTTCGCGTTGATTGGTCCGTCCTGGTGACGTCGGTCCCTGTTCTCAAACTGTTTGCCTGGCGGTGTGGTGAACGTTTGTACACGAATCTCCCCGCGACTGTCACAACTAACTCGTTCGTATCCGCCGTTGTGTTTTTTTTTCTGTTTTGCGTTGGCTCGAGTCTGCGGTATGCTGTTTTCCGTGCGGTGGACCTGTGTTCCAAAAAGACTGTTGGTTCTCTGATATGGATTCGTTCCATTGCCTTTAGTTCATTCTTCTCACCTGCAGTTCACGTTAAATGAAATGAATTGGCGCGGTATACCTAAGTGTCACCCGTCGGCTCGCCCCGCTTCTGGCATTTTACAGACACCGCGTTGACTTGTTCCCTATTGTACTGGAGTCTGCGAGGTTGCTACGCTGTGTCTGCGTTCGGACCAGCACCGCCAGGCCGGGATCAGTACCGCCAGCTGACGGTACGGGCATTAGAGTGACGCGTGCGGCGATCCGACGCCTCGTCGAGACTCGTGCAGTTGTGGTGTGAACACTCGGGGTGGGAGGTTTTGCATGGGAGGTTGGCAGCGTCCGAGTGTGCTGAGCGCGTGTTGAGATGGCTTTAGGCCTTCAAGATTGTAAGCGGTGTGCGTTTTGCGTGTGTCTGAGGTGGGCGCGAGTTGGATGCCTTACTCGTCAGACCTGTCGGGGTGTCGGATGTCATTTTTGGGCGTGCCATCTTGTCAGGTGTCGTTGGAGAGGCCATCATGTGTCAAGCGCATCATGTTTGTCAGAGGACATTTGTCGAAATTGTCAGGTTCGACGGCCGCGTTATGTTTGTCCAGTGGATTGTCTCGCAGCACAGTCAATGCATGATCCATTGATTGTGGACGCCGCGGATGCTGAGACAAACGTTCGTCTGGCAGACTCTAAAGAGCGTGTTGTTACGCGTCAAAACTAATTTCGCCATTCGCTTCGCCCCATGGTGAGATTGGTGTCCAAGAATACCTTCGCTGGGCGCAAGACTGTGCGTCTGATTTGCGTGGAGTGCATCTCAGCGAGTGTTTTGTTACACGTCGAGTGACTACAGCGTGCATTACATGTCACATATACACCTGCTGTTTTAATTCGCGATCTTCTTCCGCTCTAGTTCGAAATATTAGGGAGGCGAAGATGAGCATTTCGAAGAAAAAACGCAACGTGGATGCAAATATGACTGCTGGAGACTTAACTGATGTTGCCAGATTCAAGTTCTTAAAATAATTTCCTACATTTAATCACCGTGCCACATCACGGCAACTTCAGGGAATTAGTTCATCGCATGGTTTTGACACTGATATACTAGTCAGGGCAGTCTGTTTGTGCGTGCATCCTCCGCAATGATCATATCGCCGTTTTTCGTTGACTGGCTACACAAATCACAGCTTCTGCGCAACCATTCCGCGCAGACAGCAGTTATCGGGACTGCCGACACCAGAAGATGCAGTAACATGCAGTGCAGGCTTGTAGCACCTTATTGGAAAACGTTAAATACAGCAGGAGCTTTGAGACCAGGTGCCGTTGGTTCTGGAGACATGGGTCTCGCCCCGATGACAGCCCATTGCTATTGCCATTTCGCCCCCTTTGGATATTTCAGTGGCCACAACCTGAGGCCATTGCCTACGAGTCTACTTTTGGTCTACGAGTTGTCCATCTCGCCCCTTGGCTCTCTCACCGTCCCCTAGCATCATTCCCCCTTCCCCCCCCCCCTCCCCCCGGCTGGACATGCCCGTCTGGTGGAGATAAGGGGCTTTGAACGCACCAACGTTAAGCGTTTTATTGCGCCCATAACAGCGTTAGGTGACTACCAAGGTTTAAAATTGCGGAAAACCCTACCGTCTGCTAGTAATAGAAACAGCTGTCGCGTCACAGGCAAGCGAGAACCATCACCAAAAATGTCAGAATATGTAAAAGATGAAACGTTCCGTCCGAAACGAAGTAGTCGCTTCTCGGTGGGCCATAGGCATGACTGGATATGCGAATAATGTGGACGGACAACGTGGATGGATAATGTGGATCCATGTCCTTCAGAAACCCCGACGACGCCCCAGGGCTCCGCCAAGCATCAGCTGGCCTTCTCGTCGGCAGCACCAGGGCGAGCTGGTAACCACTCACGACCCAGTGTCGCCGGGAAGGGTGATTTGTGATCATAAGAGTGGGCCGGACGGGCGTGCGGACCCGAAGACATCGCGAGCACACGCCACCGCCGCTGGCTGCGCATCACACAAGGAGATTTATAAACGGAAGATAGACACGGGTTTAATTCTGAAGTCAACAGGCTTTGTGTCACTACTTTTTTATGTTGCATATGACCATGCTGTCTGCATTGTTCCGGAACATATCCACGTCAAGAACAATGAGCGCACAGCCAGCATTCTGCTTCACAAAATAAGGTTGCTGTCCTTTGACGTGTCTGGAGGCACGTGATGCATATGTGGCCAGACCAGCAGATGCGTTCCCTGTTTTTTGAACAAACAAAAAATACGAGCTCGCTAAAGTCAAGTGAATATAATGCATTCATCCGACAAAAGCGAACAGCTGACACATCAGTCAAGCTCTGGTCCACACTCTGCTTCCGCAGGCAGAAACGCATACCTGCTCACAAACCAAATCGTGCCACGCATAGAATAAGACAATAACATGACGAACACGTGTCTGCTAAGCGTTTTGCCTCCGGAGCCCTTCAAATGTTGAGCACGTGTGCCGGTTGTGAAATGTTTGTGCGCTGATTTTTTTTTTTTGATGCGCCAACACATGCACGAGCCTCTTCAGAGCAGAGGCGCTACAAAAGCGCCCTGCCACACACAGCTTATAGTTTGACCTCATGTTTACTGATAGGGCCTGCGAACACATTACGCTTCCCTGTAAAACTCCTCTCAGCTGGCAAAAACGCATGTTTTTGTGTTAACTTGTCTGCAAGCGTAAACGTATTGACTTTAGGCGCTTGCAAATTTCAGCGGTGTAGCCCGATGGCAAAAACCGACTTTAATAACTTGATAGCTAAAATCTGGTTCCATTCAGCAGTTACCCAGCGGGGACACGGGCGGAGTTTCAGCACGGATACCCAGCTACCTTTCTACTGATGCATGATTAAAGCTAATTTGCTATCCTTTCCGGTCCGTGCGCGACAAAACATTTGTGTATCTACCCGCCTGTTGACCCATTTCGCTACTTTAACGCTGGGGTGCTTACTGCCTACCCGTCTTCGAACCTGGACTTCAACCACAAAGGACACGCAGTTGAAGCGAACGCTAAAACCGATGCTCATCTCCTGCCGCTGATGATAGGTGGAGTTTTGCATTCCATCTAGTGCCGTTCTCGCAGGTCAGCAAATGCAGCTCACCCAGGCTCGCGACGACGTGAACAACAGCCAGTGATCGTCCACACCTGACTCACGGTTTATTTCGATGGGTCGCGACAGCAACCCGTTCCACTTAACGCTGGGCACGCGCCCGCGGCTCCTCATCGTTTAGTGGGAGGTGACGACAGTGCGCAGTTTGCCTCAATTTACGGCGTTGGCGTCCCCGCAGTGGACGTGCGTGACGACACTTGCATGGACAATTAACACCACGATCCGTGTCTCACGGACACCGCCCTCCGTCCAGCCTCTCGCAAACGCTGCGACGGTTTACACAGCGCGCGATAATTTTGGCTGAAGCACTCCGATCATAACAAAAAAAGACGAAGAAGAAATCGCACTGTCCCAGTTGTATAATGATGACCACTTCATAATACACCCGTTTCGGTAGCGAAGCGCCGCAGAGACAGTCTGGCCGCAGGGTCCGGCAACGCAGGGGGAGGGGTATCCTGCCATCGAGCCACATCCCAGGCCACCGAGCCTCATGTGACGGTCGCATGCCGTCGTAGTTCAGGGCGGGGCCCCTCTGACGGCCCGGCAAGAATGGCCAGCGTCAGCGCAGGCCCCGCCCCCCGCGACGATCTCGGCCAATCCGGCCACACGCTCCTGCCGAGGCAGCTCGGCCTAACACGGCACAGCCAATAAGATGCGACTGCTCTCTCCGCGCAGCCAATCCGGTGAAAGTGTTCTCGGCGCCACCAATCAGCCGCGGCCCGTGCTTGATGCGACCAATCAGACGCAACCCAGATCTTGGGGCAGCCAATCAAAGGCCGCCAGCTCTTCTGCCCAGTGAACCAGGCTCACTTCCTCCGGCCGCCACCGCCAGCCAGAATCATCGCGATCCGCATGAAGATGTTGATGGTGTCCAGGTAGATGGAGACGGAGCTGTGGACGAAGCGGCGTCAGACTTAACCCTGCACGGCCAGCTGGCTGTCTGACACGACAAACTGCGTACCACGGGCGCTGCCAGCCATGAACAATGGCTGCACGGTTTGACCTTCGACCGACAGTGGTGAAACCAGCCCCAGAAACCAGCCAATCACCCGCACGGGAACGGCAGACAGCACCGGTTCAATCGCTAAGGGAGAGCCACGCTGTGCCGCCGGTCCTTCCGCGTGTCGTCGGCAGTACTCACGCGTTGACGGGGTCGAACGGCCGCTGGGCGATCACGGGGTGCATCTCGGCCTTCTTCACGATACGCTGCGTGTCGTACAGCAGCATCATGCTGAACAGCACCAGGCCGCCGTAGATGGAGAGCGAGTACAGACCGGCACCCAGCGCCGTCGTCGGCGGCAGGAACATGGAGCCTGCCGACATCGAAATGATTGTGATGATGGTGTTCGAGATGGTAGCTGAAGGTATGATGCTTAATTGTAACAATGACATTTGCTCTAACAATAGCACGTTTTTGCACAACACTTGCAAGAACGATAATACTCATATATCAAAATCACCAAGTTGCAAAAATCGTAATAATCATCTTAGTCACCCGTTCGTTACGATAACTACTGAAATCTTTAAACAAACTTGTGGCAATGTTTGACTATAGACCACCCACCACGCCGGTTTCCAGTGACGTCATAACCGTGGCCTCTGGCCACATCCTGGTTGAAATAGCGCCGATGAACAATGACCCAACCCTGGATCGAGATCTTCACAGACGTCGAAGCCGACCGCCTAGCGTCCCGAGCTGCACGCCACACAAAACTCACCGACAGAGGCGCAGAAGACGACGCCAAGGCCAATAGCCAGAGGCCCTCCCATGTAGAGGAACTTGTCACTTGGCGCGCAGACCGCCACAGCGGACAGACCGCCCACCACGCCGGCCGTGTACCTGCACAGATCGTATAGAGGTCAAACGGAGGTCATGGACCCATCACGCCGGCCGTGCACCTGCACGGGTCGTAAAGAGATCATGTAGACCTATCACGCGACGCAGACGTCACGTACACATTGGATTCAAAACCCGACTCAAAAGCTACAATCTAGGCATAGGTAACACCTAAACAGTGGCAAGAGCAGCAGAACTTCTGGCCGTGATCCATACCGTCCTCTCATCCACAGCAAGCATGCAACGATCCGCGACACAACGAACAGCGGCAACGCATAAAGTCGTGGCAAAGCCTCTATCGACGGCAGCGTGCACTCCAAGCTGCCGTGTCGCTCACCAGGCGGCTCTGATGAGCAGCGGACCGCCGAGCATGGCGAGCGGCGCGATCACTGCGCCGATCACGCCGCAGTGCAGCATCCAGGCCAGCTGCTTGGTGCCGAAGCCCGGCTCGTACGGGATCGAGCGCAGCAGCATGCCCGACCCGATCATGGCGGCGAAAGTGGCACCGATAGCCTGCCGCACGCCGGTCAAGACCACGTCAAGGTCAGATTTAACCGACCTTGGTCGTATAGAGGTCATAGAGAGGTCACAGTATGGACACAGTTTAGACGAGTATGGAGCAGAGCACTTCCCGGCTCTGCACGCAGGGCAACGGTCAGGTCAAGGTCAGATTTAACCGCAATGACCATGATGGGAGCGTGGAGCACAGCGGTTACCGGTCTGTCTGCTCGCGGGACGACGGTCAGAAACGGAACAGGGTCAGATTAACTGAACGGATCATGGCAGCGAATGAGTAGCCAACCCCCGAGCCGATCACGGTCAGGTTGCCCGCCGGATGGGCGCCGGTCAAGGTCAAGCCAAAGGCAAGTCACTGACTCTATGACAGCCGCGAGCGGAAAGCAAGTCGTCCGCCGGGAGGAGGTCAGGGTCAGGTCGGGTCGGCTTCATCAGATCACAGTCTTCCATTAGAACCACATAAGTGGAACACTCAGACAAAGGACCATAAAAGGGCGATGAACAAATAGCATCCCACTAAGAACCACATCACGCAAATCTGATCTAAATAGGTGGCATATAGCATGTTCTGTAGCATCATATAAGCATCACATTATCATGCATGCACTATATATCATGTTCCACACATTAGCCAAGTGAAGCATTCTCAGCCCATGACCACATGTGACATGCATGCACCAGAAGCATCACTGAACAACCAGACCATCCATCACCACCACCACCACCACCACTAGCTCCCATCACCAGCTCCCATCATCAGCACCCATCCACGGCACCCATCACCAGCACCAGCTCCCATCACCACCACCAGCTCCCACCACCATTGCCAGCTCCCATCACCAATAGCTCTTGTTGCCACCACCAGCTCCCACCACCACCACCAGCTCCCACCACCACCACCACCGCCAGCTCCCATTACCACCACCACCTCCCATCACCAACACCAGCTCCCATCACCAGCACCAGCTCCCGTCGCCAGCACCAGTCCCCAACACCCCAGCACTAGCCCCAACCACCACCACCACCTCTCATCACCAGCACCAGTTCCCATCACCAGCACCAGCCCCGTGACCAGCACCAGCTCTCGTCATCACCACCAGCTCCCGTCACCAACACCAACTCTCATCATCAGCACCAGCTCCCGTCACCAACACCAGCTCCCATCACCAGCGCGGAGCCCGCCCCCATACCAGCCAGCTGTTCTTGGTGACGAGACGCATCATGGCCGGGGAGCGGAAGATGGCGGCGGCAGAAGCGGCCGTCACCGCCACACTGGAGCCGAAGTACAGGTAGGTGGCCTTGACACGCTCGCGCACGTAGTCCGGCCACATCCTGCGGCGGTGACAATGTCAGGTCACACCAGGTCAGGGCCTATCAGATCATGTCATATTGAACAAGGTCATGTACCAGACATTCGGTGGCTTGGCTCTATACAGTGAAGCTTGCTTCCCCGTGTGCGGTCTCGATTTGTGATGTGAGCGCGTCCACTGCCGGGGTCATTGTGCTATGTCACGTCCTCCAACCGAGAGCTGCTTCGCAACTGTAGACGGCATGGCTACGGTTCTCAGGTGGTACCTGAGAACCCTGAGCCACGGTTCTCAGTTAGCGCCTTCACCTGGGCACCACCTGAGAACCTTAGCTCAGGGTCTGAGCCCGAATCTCCACGCCACCGAGGGCCCAAGATCGGGCCCTCGGTGATCTCATGTCAGAAGCTTGTCACATAAATAAGCTCACATCCTGAGGTCAGGTGTTCGTCACATTCGTAAGGCCACACCCTCGGAAACCTCAAGTCGGGCACTTAAGTGCTCGTCACACCCGTAAGATCACACCCTTGGTGACCTAAGGTCACGTAGTCGTCATATATGTAAGATCACACACTCGGTGACCTCAAGCAGGTACTCACACGGCGCGGTCGATGGCGCCCATTTCGCTGGAGAGGCCGGCGCCGTAGTAGCAGAGAGCGCCGATCCCCACCACGGAGGCTCCAGCCACCAGGCCCCGGCCGGCCGTGAACGCTGCGGAGGACCAGCGCGTTACACGTGTCATCGGGGCAGCGGTGTACTGTGCTGGTTAGCTGATGAGCGCCAGCTCCCCCCCCCCCCCCCCTTCCTCAGAAACACACTTTCAGACGGTGGGCCGAAAATCCGGAGAAATCGGTGTTCGGGATGTGGCGGGGTTAGTCTTGCCACTTTTCTCTGGTCTGCGTCGGACTTATTTCACACCCCCTTCCCCATGACAACCTAACCTGCAAACGACTTTTAAAGCCGGAACACGTGAAAAACAAACCTTTGGAAAACTGTGCAAAACAAAGCCTGATTTACATGGGGATATTTCCTTGCAGCCTTCCATGTTCCACACACATAGCCAGTACATGCGGAACGGGCAAAGATGATACACACGCACACATCTCGACCAAAAACGAGCTCTCACTGGGAGCAAGGTAAGCGCACCACGAACGCGACGGAAGTGCCCACCTGCACCCACTGCTACCCACCTCACCCCATTGGCACACAGTCAGCATGCTTGCAGTGAACTGGCCTCCATCCCTGGCCTACCTCCTTGACTCACCTTCCCCAACATGACCCCCCTCACTCCCACCATGGCCTACCTCCCTTACCATGACTCATCTCCCCCACCATGACCCACCTCCCTCCCCAGCCGGCGCCATCGCCTGCTCCTTCAGCGTGGCGCGGCGGGTGGCGCGGCGCGTGAATGTTGAGCGGCCTTCGTTGGAGAGCAGGCGGCGCGGCGCCCACTGGAGCCGGCCGGCGGAGCGGGCCAGCCCAGGTGGCGCCACCAGCAGGGTCACACGGGACAGCAGCATAGTGAAGCTCCTGCTGATGAGGGCAAGCTGAGGTCGAGAGGGGGCAAGAATGGCAGGTGTGGTGGGGAGACTTGTTGGCTCTGGTCCACAGCACCATTCATATCACAATCATCATCATCAGCATCATCACTCACCATCACCATACATCACATTGCACATCAGCATCACACTGCAAAGATGCAGTGAAAAATTATGCTGGTTAGATTATACATATTCCTGCATTCCCACACTGAGGATAAACATGTGCTGCCACAAATCTAATGCCAAGTGTTCTCCCATAGTGCAGTGGCTTTTGCAAGGACCTCAAAACACAAACTTGGTGCAAAAACTGATGTTAGCTACATCTAACTGGTGAATTTGTACCTTCAGTTAAGTGCTTTAGAAGGGCCTTAAATACAGAACATGTACAAAACTGGTTGCATTCATCCTCACCCCAAATACCATACATTTTGCCTAGTGTGAAAACCATGCAATGATTATGTCATTGCTCTACCATGGCAGCCAAGGAGGCAATTTTTTCTGGTGTTCAGTACTGCATGTACCATGTACTACATGCCTTGCATCCAAAACTTTATAACAGTAAGCATATCAACAGCATCCTCATGTAACACAACCAAATCATATGTTGCCTAGCCTCACCAAACAAAAACTACCTCTGAGATAACCTACTGATTGGCCTTCAGTTATATCTGTTGTAAATTTTTGGGCAGATACACATGGCTAGAAGCATGATATGCTCAATGTTAGGAATGTCTAAACAGTAAGCATCTCACAGGCATCATTATGTAACAGAACTAAGTCATGTGGTCTGGTGCAGCCTCACCAAGCAGAAACCACTTCTGCAATAATCCACTGATTGGCCTTAAATTCAACCTGCTGTTAATTTTCAGGCAGATACACATGGCTCCAGCAGACTTCTGATGTGATGAGACTGACATCTGCCACCATGACTTCTATCAATGCCATGCCCCACTAGAAAATAGTGCAATACATACTCCCTCTTTTTCAAGCTGACTTATATAGATGCCAACCAATTCCTTGTACAAGAGTCAAGATTCAATAACAGTGGAAGTGAGTCACTGCAGACAAAACATGTTGGTAACTAGCACTGTGAAGTAATGCTCCAAACACCACCATTATTTTCTATCTCTGGCTCTGTGACGGTGCACAGCTGCCAAAGACGCGACCCCAGTATCAGTTTGTTCGCGATCCGTCTACTGGATTAATAAAAATGACGACGTTACATATACTCCATACCTACCAATAACAATATGGGCCTCGGATTGCGCAGCCACAGCAACCACCTTCCGGGGCCGAACGTCGTTTGCCTCCCCCCGCGGTCGTGAATTGACTGCCACTGCGTCTATTTTGTATTCGTTAACGCGAATTGCGTAATATGGTTCTAGGAGGTTCTCGGCATGAAAACGAGAAATAAGTTACGGGCAATTATTTATTTCCTGGATATTTTTTAGATTATTCATGATAAAATCACCTCCTTTTGTGCAATCCCTTTTCTGCTCATATTTTACCTCACGTCAAGACATTTTCACTCGCTTTGCATTGTCTATCACAGAAAAAGACAACTAGTTGATCTCTATGGTACCAGTGGTTCACCTTGCTTGACCAGAAACAGCTCCAACTATCCTCCAAATTTGTGAAATACGGCTCCCTATCAACCGGGCAGCGAAAATAAATTAAAAATAACCGAGTTAAACATTTTTCAAGATTGGATGAGTCACACCGAAAAAGATGGTGAGAACCTGTTTTCCCCGGCCTAATTTGCAACTAGGATATTCAGCCTACCGGCAAAAACGATCATAGCAGTTGGCTCTGAGGCGGCATGGACCCTGGGGAGCTGGGGATTTGGGAAACAACTTAGCTCCTTTAGGAAAGAGGTACAAGGTCGGCGGCTACCTTTGTTTCCAAAGGCCTCCTTCGTTGTCCGTGACCCCTGACACAATGTGACTCCCTGTATCTAGGCACAGAGTATTCAGCAGGGTAACCTGTGTCGGCAAGGGGTTCCTAGTTGAAAAAGTCACATTTTGCTTACAAGTAACAGGACGGAACCCTGAATGTTCAGGTGCCACGAAGACCTATTATCATGGATGCATCCAAACATCAATGAACAAATATCCTTGACTACAGAGTATTGATGAACCAAACTCGGGCAGATATCAAGAATTCGCTGCAATTGAACAGAGCCCAGTTATTACGGATAGGCACGAGAAATATTTCCCGCCCCCCCCCCCTTCAAAGTCTCCCACTCTGGGTTCAATAGTGTGCAATTGACCACCAACTTGAATGCTGAATAATATGAATGAATGCTGTCGAATTGAATGCCGAATAAACTCCAACCATCCCTAGGAGCCGACCGCCGCGTATCGCCACCTACGGTCGTGAGTTGATGACCACTGCATCTATTTTGTGTTCGTAAACGCAAATCGCGTTGTATGGCTCATGGCATGGAAACGGGAAATAAGTTACAGGCAACAATTTATTTCCTAGATAATTTCGAGGATATTGATGCAGAAACACCCGGCAGAAGACAACGAGTTGATGGACTCGTTGAAAAAATGGATGAAAAAGTTGTGAGTTCTTAAGGTCACCCTTTAAGGTCAAGCATGGGTTCGAAGGACGGGGAGCTCCGTATCACCCCAAAATTACCGGCCGATTTTAAGCTTGTAAATGCCAGAAAATTCACCACAGAAAGAACTAGCGTCCATCAAAAAGTCCTAACCTCTCAAGGCCACCATTCAACGTCAAACGCCGGTACAACGGACGGGGAACTCACTTGTATCAAGATGTCAGTTGCATCAAGGACAAGGTATCAGCTGTACAAAATGCAAATGATACAAAATTAACATGAATATACTGCTTTGCCCGGTACGATGGGGCTGCCATTGCCCATTGCTCGGTTGGGGGTTTGCCTTTCATTTCACCCTCATGTGGTGGGATGGGTTCGGGTCGCTTTGGGCGCTGGTCATTTGCCCTGGACAGGGTTGTCCTGCGGTCGGTGGCATCAGCCGCTCTAGAGGTCAGGTGACGTCAGAGGGCAGCATAGACCGTGCCCAGCATTGCGGCACGTCAAACGTTCGCCACCATGTTCTCCCGTGGGCCTGGAATTTCACGATAGGCCGGTAGAGACCAACCAACGACCATTCCTTCGCGCGAGCCCCTGTTTCAGAAATGCATTTATTAAATCCATAATAAATGAAAGAAATCCATAAAAGGATCGGATGAATTCTATGAAACAACATCGCAAGAGATATCGTAATCATCACTGCATGCAAACGAAGCCGCGAAATAATAAAACTCCGTGTAGCGAGAAAGGGGCATGGTAGGAGGAAGATTGAAGGTTCTCAAATGCCGTCCGAGTACACGAATCTGTTTTGTACATGATCCAGGCATACACACACACATGTGGCAGTTGTCCATGGCTAGAGGGCAGACAAATACAGCGCAAGCTTGGCTGAAATATGATGAAGAGCAGTATAACGCGTGGAACTTAATCAATTTTTCACTGCAAACACGAACACCTGACATATTACAGACATCAGCCAACGACGAAACTCGGAGTTCCGACCCTAAACGGATCGGTAGATCGAATAAACCGGTTCACCGCCACCGTGGTCCGCCTGCGCCCACTAATATAGTTCATACAAGCAAAGGTAGGGGTGTTCAGGGTAGCAGGCGTTCAGGTCAAGCAGCTTGTGACCCAGCATCCGGACACACGGTAAGTCTGACGAATACGAGTTGGTGGGGTGCAGCCACGAAGCCTTTTGAGGTTTAGCGCCCTTTAGCCCTTTAACCCTTTCGTGCTTATCGCCCGGCCGAAGAAGTCCTCTTAAACTTCATTTGTGTCCGTTTCCCGGATGCCCAAGCGCACACCGATACCCTTCATTGCGCGATCATCATCTGGCGTTCTTCTTCTGACTCTGGGACGGCCGGCGAGGTTTGCTGGTTGTCCAGCAGACACTGGTCCAGGATTTGCGTTCCAGTAATGGCCCCGGCGTGGTGGCGGAGGAGCTTGCTCATGTTTGGGAAGCTCTGTTGCCCGGCTGGGGCTTCTCAGCTGAAGAAGATGGCCTCTGCCACAGCGTTCGCTTGCACGTGGACGCTGCGCAGGAGGCACTGCCGACGCGCGCCGCTCGACCGCTGGAAGGCCCAGTGGGTGCAGCTGGTGTCGCCGAGGCAGCGGCGAGCGCACTGCACCCGGCTCGTAGTGACGATCTCCGATAGAACGGTGGCGCACGGCGGGGCCTCGTGCAGCTGGTGTCGCCGAGGCAGAGGCGAGCGCACTGCACCCGGCTCGCAGCGACAGTCTCCGATAGAACAGTGGCAGCCAGCGGGGCCTCGGGCAGCTGGTGCTCGACCCAACTGGAAAGCACCACCAGACCAGCTAGAGGCGCCAGCAGAGCCGGGCGAAACTGCGACACGGCCGGCATCTCTGTTGAACACGGGTGACCTCTCTGACACACTGGCGGCCGGGAAATGCAGCAAACAGACCGCCTGAGGTGTCACCAAGGAAGCAGAACAAGCAACACAACACACCACACACAATACAACACAACACACACGACACAACACGACACAACACGGCACACACACACGCACACACACAACACAACATACACGACACAACACAACACAACACACACGACACACACACAACACACAGCAACACAACACAACTCACATAACAGTGAAGCAAAAAGCAACACGACACAACACAACACACACAACACAAATGACGAGCAATCAATAAATCCAGGGAGTTTGCAATCATTACGCAGTCGGAGGAAAGCCACTGAAGGCAATTAAGCTAAGTACTTTGATCGCCGCTCCGTTGTTTCCAACGCGGACAGTGTTGGAATTGTTGCAATTCGTCAGGAATTTCGACTCTGATACGATTGGTACTCCGGATTTCATACTGGGAAGAGTGAACCCGGAGGCTCTCCGCAGATGTCGACAGCCTCTGCCAGCCATTCGACAGCGTTGACCAGAGTGTCCTCCGTCGAAAGGCGTGGACGGTAAGCACATTGCGTTGGCGTTAGTACATGGATGTCAAAAAGGAAGAAGTGAGCTGCGAGCAGACGACCTTCTCGGCAATTTTCGACAGTGCAGAGAGAATAGAAATGAGCCGGAAGTTGTTCAGGTCTGATTGATCGCCCCGCTTTAACACCGAGGTGACGCGCGCGATCTTCCAGGCGGACGGAAAAGTGCGTGATGTGATATAAAGACTGATCAGATATAAAAGGTGAGCACCGATTACAGGAAAACACGTTTTCACAGAATTGAGTGCTACGCCATCGACCCCGACAGCACTCGATCCGCTCATCTTCCCGACGGATGTCGAGAACTTCGGTGGAGTGACTGGATGCAGAGAGAACGCTGAGGCACAGACACGGTACGGGGGCGGTCCAGCCGGAGGCGTGCCCACACCGCCACTCACCGCCGCCACCTCCGCAGCGATGCAGAGACCGAGGGCAGCGAAGTAGGCATCGCGTGCGTCCGTCCGGGTGCCCATGTCGTAATGGGGTGCGTCGCGCGCTCTTGCTGGCTGCAATGCGAACTGGTTGAGGCTCTGGAAGTCTCGCCGCCCTTTCAGTAGACTACTGCACAGGTAGGAGCGTCGCGCGAGAGTGATCAGTGCGTTTTCTCACTTCGGTATCCCCCGCAGCTACGGACAGCCGGACCGGCGTGACGTCACGGTCATGGTCGTCACGTGACGTCACGGCGGTGCGCGTCGAGCGCGACGTTCTACACTTCTATAAATGTGGCCACCTTGTCATCGACGCTGCCAGCCGCGTAGAGCGATTCCCAATCAGCGAGCAGCAGACTCAGGTTAAACGTGTCCCAGTCGACGCATTTCCACGGTCGCACGGTGATAGTTACTGACCGTCGGCGCTCGCTGGAGACGGGAGCGCGGAGTAGCACCTATTGGTGGTCCGCCACAGGCACGAGGAGCATCTCGGCTGAGTACCGGAAACCGGTCACGCTGGTGACGATCGGGTCTGGCGGTGTTGGTCTCGGTTGGTGGTGGGTGAGCTTGACGATTAGCTGTTGGAGACTCACGTCTCTCGGGATGGTCTGAAAACCGCGTACAACGGGCCGTCTGGGTTAAAAAATATTTAAGATTTGATCCGAACCCTTTCAATGGCTGGATTTATGGGATCAGAGTTCACGCTAAGCAGTGCTTGTTGTATGAGCCCTGATCCCTACCACCCGATCGCGCAATTCCATGTGAGCGGCAGAATTTGGTGGCGAAAGCTTAACGTGCCGCCATGCCCGGCACGGTCCGTCCTGCCCTCTGACGTCAAATGGCCTTCAGGGCGACGGCTGCCACCGGCCGCAGGCCATGCCTGTCAAGGGCAAATAGCGAGCGCCTTAAAGCGACTCGAACCCACCCCACCACGGACGGGTGGATCGGAAGGCAGGAACTTCAACCAACTGAGCCAGCGGGATGGACAAAGGGTTGAGGAGATTGATGTTATAGTCTCGCAATGTGAATGCCGGTTTCCTGTGGCGGTGGCGTCAGTCACACCGACGTCTCACAGCAGCAGTTTGGACGGCAGGACTCATATCAAAACATTCTGAAGTTGAAATTGGTGCCGCCTTAGCGATCTTACACGTCGAGTTCAATGAAGGCTAGAAGCATGATAAAATCTCGATGGCATTTTGTAAACACATCACTGGCTAAGTATCATAATCTGAGATACGAACTTTGTAGCACTCGGCAGTCTAAAAACAAGACTTCATGTGACAGTTTATGCGGTTCTAGTGCTCCGGACAGACAACAAAACTACACTGGCTCTGCTGGCAGCATACAGGGCATCAAAGGCATTCTATTCCTTTGATTGCTCATCACTCCCGCTGAATGTTTTCTTCCATGTACCTGCTACCTTGACATGTATGTAATCTTGTCTCCTGGATTACGCTGTTAAGTAGGCAAAAGCAAAAACAGCAGAAAAGATCCTGCGTCATTATTACATTGAAAGCTATGACTTAAGCACCAAATGGTTAGATTGCTGTGTACTCGAATGCGGTGTGATCCCCCTCTCCCAGTCTGGTGTAAGCTTTGCATTGCATCTAGCAATAATATTAAGGCAATCTTTATGGTGCTGCACCACCATCCAGTGGCCAAGGGCGCTTAAGAACCTAGGGGCGGGGCTAAACAACGAAAGGTGACGCAACCCACCCCTAAAATACGCAAAAACACGTTTTTCCCCGGTTTGACTCGCTTTATTCGCACGGTTAGGGGGGGGGGGGCTGAAGTCCAAGTTGAAAGGGAGAGGCTAAGCCCAAGTTTTGATCATTGGAGTCTCCCTCCGCCCCCCCCCCCCCGATTGAAAAAGAAATTACACCCCAGTCAGTTGATGCTAGGTATGTGTCATGCAGTACCCGGTGCCCTGACCCTCACATAGAACCCGACACCCCTACCCTTAGGTATGACCGGTGCCCTGACCCCCATGTAGGACTCTCATGTTGTGCCATTCACCACTCCGGGATTCGGAAGGCCAGGGGCAAGAATGTCAGTGTACGTAAATGATAAGGCGGGCATAGCTGAGCACTCAACGGCACCACCTTTCCCATTTTTTTTTTTCACAACGCATTTAGGCCACTTTTCTGACGAAAGTCAGTTGAACTTCTTAATGGGTGTGCTTATTATCGAATAACTCTCAATTTAAGTACCATGGTGGTCTTGCGGGGAGGGACCACGGGGGAGGGGGTAATGGCAGCACGTACCCCTTCTGATCGGAAAGAAAAGGCGCCCCTCTAGAGCCCACCTTCTGGCGCCGAAAGCTTTCTTCTATGGCGGCTATGGGTGGCGTCACGTATTTTTGGCTGTGGGGGACGGAGTCGGGCTTAGCCGTGAGGAGTCATTGCTGAGCCCGGATAATCAAACCCGATTTAGCCTATGAAGGTCATCCCCGCCCTTGCGAGCTTTTCAGTTTAACTTCTCAAACCGCTGCGTGTCTTATGGTCCTAGGTTCGTGAAGTTTTTTTCTTTCCTTATCCGCTCACTGGTTGACATTTTTAGTTGTCGGTTTTTTAGAGAGCAGACACGACTTTCTATTACTGTGAGAGCGGATCTCCAGCGTTGTTAGGTGCACTTATGTTTGCGACGAGCATACGTTTTTATGGGTCGGTAAGCATCCCGCTACATTAACGGATTCAGCTGTTGGGTTTGCGGACCAAGTGTTTCGGGTTAATTGTTTCGGCTTTCGGCTTACACAATCTGCCACAGTTTTCTAGTTTTGCTTAGATTTAAGTCACAGCGCCACCATGTGCAACTGTACTTTATTGCACGACTGTGTATCATTCAATATGTGTTATATCAACACGCTATCGGGTGGGGGTGAATTTCATTCCCCCGTAGGTTTTTCCAGAATGGATTCCCAGCGACACAGTGCAGCCACGCCAAATTTTGCACAGCCGTAGACAATTCACTAGCGGATCGTCCGGCACCAGTAAAATAGACGCACCTTGTAAGGTCGCTGACTTACACTAGGTCAATATCAGGCCATAGATTCAGGATACTTTGCTTCATATTGCCCCCCAAAATACCAGGATTGTCAAAAACAGTACCAATGTTTCTTTTCAGCACATAGTTTTTGTACATGGCTGGTCAAGGAAGATCATTCGGTCGTTGGCTTATGTGTGTGTCACTGGGGCTTTGCGACACACTCAGCTGCTGAGGCTATAGGGCGTCGCCTGCTTCTCACCTTGGCAGGAAGGGCGGGCACCGCGGAGGTCGTTGGCTTCAGCCTTCAGAGGAGGTCGTCAGCCTGGTCACAGGGTGGCCGAGAGTTGTGGAGTCGCATAGCACGATATTTGAATGAGGGCCCGAAACAGAATGGGTCCGTTTAACCGTCATTGCATTGGATGACGTGTTCGCAGAGATAGCAATAAACCATTTGCAGCTCAAAATCCAACATAATATGCGTCCCCCCAAGAACTTTGTTTCAATATTAGTTTCCATTCGAACAAGAACCATAACATAAATGAACCGTGCGACGGCAAATATGATTTCTTTTACCGAACGGCTTCTGACAACTCACAACAAAGAAATTCGAGCCTTGAATAAAACAATGTCAGGCTCAGAGCTCATAATGGAACGCAGACAAACGGACAAGAGAGTCTCCCGAGAGCGATAAATTAGTGACGTGGATGACGCATTCATGCTGCGTAAGAAGTGTCCGAGTTTACATCTAACAAACCAAAAAACGGTCAAATTTTAGAAGATTTCTCCGAGCATCTAACACTTGCCCTTATCTAGGGAAATAGCTTTGCGGTCGCGTTGGTCATGTTAGGGTGCTGCACCGTCCTTGGCGACACCACTACGCGGAAGGCCCGCAAATCCAAACTTTGCTGGTTCTCACAGATCCATTTAAAAATGAATTTAGATGAGCATAAGCTATAAGTTGGCATTCGCCACCCCCATTACCCAAAGAACCGTCTTCATGAACGAAGTACGCTGGGCCTGAAACAGCGCTTAAGCGTCTCTTATTCGTGGTCAGCATTGGGTTTTATCCTTGATTTTTTCCTGGAATCAACAGGGTGCAAAATACATGGGTTTCGAGGTATCAAGCTAAAGTTCACGCCGCACGCTCTCGTTTTGGGGTGGGAAAAGGGCTAAGCCGTCAGCATCGGTGCCAATTTTTTATATCAAAGGATTTTCGGATAGTACTTAAGTAACAGAATCCACCACACAAGGCGCTAAAATGCTACTAAATAAGCAATATAGGGCAATCTAGGCCTTTTATAAGATACTTTCCTATTCATGTTCCTTCAACGTCTCAAATGCGCTAGAATTGAGGATAGTTTTGTAAGCCTGTACATCTGTTCGTATTAAGTTATCTGCCATCCCGGCACAAAGTGACCCAATCCAAACACTGTTTTATGCACATTATTGGTGAATAAACCTGATTCTGACGATATCAACAGCAGACGAACATCACTAATCCAGTTAGTGTACACAACCTTGCTGTGTGCTGCATGAGTCACTGACGACGACGGTGGGGGGCGGCGCTGGGAAGTTTGGTGGGGTACTGGGGAGGTAGATCGGAAGGGTTCGCCCGCGTGTCCAGGTAAAAATGAACACCAGCACATATAAAAGGCGGACCTGCTATTTTTTCATTTGCACAGAGTTTGCAGTGTTCGTAGCCGTGGGCATGGATAGACACTGAGGCGGTCAGCGAATGTCCATGGCATTATAATATCGGGTACTTGCTCTAGAGCTGCTCAACAGCTTTATCAAGGATTTTGTATGCTCATCAAGCCAACTGCAAAGGTCAGGTAGAGCTTAAACGCTTGGAGGACGTCAAGTTGATATTATTGTGATCAAACCCATTTCCTTGAAAGCCTGCTGAGTGCAAAGTAAGGAAATGTTTTATTTGGTGCTTGATAAACCTAGGTATGTATGGTGAAGCACTATGAGCCATGACCACTTCCTCTGGATTGTTATCAGTGCAGTAAATCTATACTATTTTGATGAATACTTGCTAGGAACTCCCACAACATGAATGCCACAAAGTGCTAACACAGCTCAGAACCAAGCTACCACATAACAGACTAGTGCATAATTGGTTTGCCATCATATTAGTGCGGTGTAGGTGTACTTTCCTACCTAACATTAGAGAAAATAATTGCACATCATTTGTAGTGTTTAAGGCCGAACATATCATATATAATTTCAAAACGGGTAGAATCAGGCTACCACCTTCAAATTCTAATAACTACGATAGCAAGCGCCCGAGTGCCGCACTCACCGCACTGCCTTGACTCCCCAGAGCCGATTCCGCGTTGTTACTTAATTACAATATTTCTGCTTATCAAGAACCATAAAAAATGTATGAGACTAAGGTAACAACAATAATGCAAAGAAAATAGTTTCTTATCACATTTAGGTATGTTTATGAAATGCACAGGCCAGAATAGTCTAGAACATAGCCTAAACTAGCCTATCCTAACCTATCCTAACCTAACCTAACCTAACCTAACCTAACCTAACCTAACCTAACCTAACCTAACCTCCCCATCCTACATCCCCTTCAACCCAGCATCCCATTGGCATCCATGTTCCATGCCATATATGAGTACCATATAGTGAGCTTTTATTTAGCCCCATGTTCTCATTTTGCTTTACATTCCCTTCCCAATCCTCCTGCAGCCCATGGCCTGTTGGCGTCGAGGATAAAATTTCATGGATTCTTGTTACCTTGGCCCCTACATTTTTATGGTTCTTGATGCTGCTTGACGCGCAGTAACGCTGTGACAGCGCGCAGTAATGGCGCCAGTGTCGGGGCTGCTGTTTTTTGCGGCAGTCGGATGTTCAGTGTCATAATTAGTTAAGTTCCAAGGTGAGAGTATAGATGACCTGTTTTACGTTCAATTATGATATGTTCTGCCTTAAAAACAACAATTGATGTACAGTGCTTCTTTGTAACATGAGGTAGGAAAGTACACCCTGACCCATTAGTGCTGTTGGTCAGCACCAATTTCAGTGCCTATGAAGCCATGGTTTTAAAGCATCATGGTGTTCCAGATTCAAGCTCAGGCAGAAAGATCTCAAAAACATCTCACAAAAAAGGAATATAAAGTTCAGCACCATTTGACCTGGTTTTAGGTATATGCACATAAGCATGAGGTTTAGGGCACAGCTGTTGTTGATATATGACACATTCACATGACTGATGCATGTTTTGTAGATAAGGTCATAAACATGGGAACTAGAGGTAAAGGCAAGGCTTCCACAAATTTTCTGGAAATGTATCATTCACCCGATGGCCATGAACTGAGAGAAATAACCAGATATGGCTATCCCAACCTTCTTGGTGGGGAGGACTAACTAGTGATTGAGCCATTGCCTGTCTTGAAGTATAAGCATTTTACCTCATGGCCTTCCCTAGGGTTCTGGTCTCACTCTGGGTCACCAAGGCTGCCTGTTGAATGTTGGACCAGAGAAATTAGAATAGGCCTGCTGCTTGCATGGATGAGAAAGGTGCATACCAGTGTGTATTTGGACAACAATGTCACACAATGATGATATAATAGAACTGTTGCTTTTTACAGATTTTTCTTTTTAAGATGACCAATTTTTTCAACTGCACTAACAAAATGTGCTCCTTTTAACATTGCATCTGGAATTTGCAGGCACAAACTCAGCCCCTCTCGCCACCTGCTACTGAATGCTGAGACTGACACTCTCAGCCAGGGAGGCTTCCGACGTCATGGAGGAAGCACCTGTCCGCATCAAACATCTAGCTGATATGGCCAACTATGACATTGACTACTCCAGACCAGCCAGGACGTGAGAAAACTCTGCTCTGCCATGTACTGACTGAGCAACTACAAAATGGGTGGTGGAATGTGTACAGGGCTTGTGTTGCAAACTGTCTTTGAAGAGTTTTTTCCACATAATTATAGGGAAATGAGTGCCAACATGAGCATAAGTGTGAGACTAGTGTTACCACCCAGTGGATCAGGATGTGCTCTTTGCTGTGATATGTAATCCTATAAACAATAATTTGTGCTGCACATTCTGTTATCTTGTAATCCTTCTAATTACTGCCTAGCTGTTGTTCCATTTTGCCCACTTGAGGGCTGTGACTGTGTGCCAGATTCTGCTTCAAGGGCCTGGTCAGTGAGGGTACATGTATTCCAAGTCTGTTTCATTTACCTGTGGGTGGGTGGGTTTAAGCCACCTGAAGTCTGATTCACTTACCCGGGGGTGGGTGTGTTTAAGCCACCTGAAGTCTGATTCACTTACCTGTGGGTGGGTGGGTTTAAGCCACCTGAAGTCTGATTCACCTACCTGTGGGTGGGTGTGTTTAAGCCACCTGAAGTCTGATTCACTTACCTGTGGGTGGGTGGGTTTAAGCCACCTGAAGTCTGATTCACCTACCTGTGGGTGGGTGTGTTTAAGCCACCTGAAGTCTGATTCACCTACCTGTGGGTGGGTGTGTTTAAGCCACCTGAAGTCTGATTCACTTACCTGTGGGTGGGTGGGTTTAAGCCACCTGAAGTCTGATTCACCTACCTGTGGGTGGGTGAGTTTAAGCCACCTGAAGTCTGATTCACTTACCTGTGGGTGGGTGTGTTTAAGCCACCTGAAGTCTGATTCACCTACCTGTGGGTGGGTGTGTTTAAGCCACCTGAAGTCTGATTCACCTACCTGTGGGTGGGTGTGTTTAAGCCACCTGAAGTCTGATTCACTTACCTGTGGGTGGGTGGGTTTAAGCCACCTGAAGTTGTGGGGTCAGGGTTCACTCAGCAGGCACTGCTTAGCATTACTACTGACCTGAGAAGTCCTTGTCATCAACAAAATTATACATAAGCTTTAAAAATGGAGGGAGGTCACAGTTTTGGGGAGCCAGTACTCCCATTGAATTAGGGGTATAATAGCAAGCTTGTGCTGTGCCAAAGCAAAAAATGCTCGCTGCCTTTGCTTGCTTGCAAAAGCTTGTGCTGTCTTTGTTGTCATTATATGCTGATTGTTGCAACATCACAGCAGTCAGTTCTGCTGGTGATGGCTGAGGTGACGTCCATTACCACCACAGAGCAATGGTTCGTACATCCTGTATGCTGTATCACTGTCATTGGGATGTTCCAGGTACTTCCGTTCCGGCGTGGAGATGGTGCGGATGGCCAACGTGTATGCCGAGGAAGGCAACCTCGAGGGCGCCTACGTGCTCTATATGAAGTTCATGACGTGAGTTCCTCACATACATTGCATGCAGCTCTTCAAGACTGCTGCTCTGCGCTCCGGCTATTCTGTTGATGCTGTCTCAGGTGTTGGTGTATTATCGTCCATTGTTTCCCTGGCTCAGCAGAGTGGCATAGTGTGGAATTTTGTGCAAAGAGTGGGGGATTCCATGTTTTTTTTTTACTTCCTTGTTTTTCTTTGTTGTAATTGCCATGTGAACTACACTACAAATATTTGGTCTGGTGCCTTCCCGTCCTTCGCGAATCCCACCATGGCTTCATGCCTAAGTCACCCTGCCTGACTGTTTTGGCTATGATCGTTTTGACCGGCACCGACCCAAGTTGTGACCGTGCCCCTCCCTCGAACGTGTCTTGCGTACAGTTATAGAAGCAAAGACAGACACGTTGTTAGTTTATCCGCGGGAAGGCCACGCCTGGATTCTGAGCGTACTCTGTGGCGCGGCAGGATTTTCCTGGAGAAGATCCGGCGGCACCCGGAGTACCACCAGGTGTCGCCGGGCGAGCGGGCCGCCATCAAGCGCCACCTGGAGGCGACGCTGCCGCGCGCCGAGTCCATCAAGGGCCAGCTGATGCAGAAGTTCGAGAACGAGCACAAGGCCTGGCTCGCCGAACAGGTGGATACGGCCGCCTCGCCGGTCGCTTCGTCGGCCGCTTCGCCGGCTGTTTCGGGCGGTCGCTTCGCTGGCCGCTTCGCCGGCGAGGACCGCGTCGTCATGCGACGCTTCGTCGGCTGAAAGCCGTCGACGGTGTTTTCCACGCAAATGCGAAAGGCCTGTCGCGAAATGCGGGCTTTTTGGAGAGGACAGATTCGGTGTGAGAGTGGAACGGTAGCTTTGCTCATCTGGGAAGGTCGTGACCGTCGAGATGCGCGTTGTCGCCGTGAACGATGGGTCTGGCACCGTTGTCTCCGGCCGGTGGGTGCGACGCGGAGTCACGAGGGGCCGGAGCGATGGGCAAGCTCGGACCCACGGCGCGGGGTCGGCGACGACCGTTCTGTTATCAGAGCTTCCGCCGCTGTATGGCTCCTGGCTTGGTGTTTGTCCGGGACAAATGTGAATGGTAATTTATTTGTGTAGCGAGACCATCAACCAAACCGACGACACATGTCACGGTGTGTGCGTGGCACTGATTGTTCGGTGTAGATAGTTTATATCATTGGTGACGTCATATTACCTCTGCAGCTGAGCGCGTTGTGAAGTCCCATGTCGGCGGTCCTTTGCACCATTATGTGTAGTACCTGACAACCGCTGTTGCCTCCACAATCTGGTGGTTTACGTAGTGTCATCGCGGTAGAAAGGCAGCCAAAAAGCTACACTATCCCTCGCTCGCCAGTGTGCCCGGAGTGCGGGGGCCTCTGTTCCCAGCCGAGCGTAGCCGGGCGGCTGGCCGACCTGGCCGTCCCCGTCCTGACCGTGATTCTAACGTCCCCGTCCTGGCTGCGTACTGACCGTGTCCCCGTACCCGGCGGCAGCGGATGTTAGAGGAGGAGCTGGCGCAGCGGCGGCAGGATGAGGCCCTCCGGCAGTCACAGCAGCAGCACGAGCAGCAGAAGCGCCGCAGGTTGGTCCTCGCCGGCGCGGCAGGTCGGTCCACACCGGCAGGTCGATCCACAACGGCAGGTCCGTCCACACCGGCAGGCTGGTCCACACCAACTCCGCAGGTCGGTCCACACCGGCGCCGCAGGTCGGTTTACACCGGCAGGTCGGCTCACACCGGGCCGCAGGTGATCTGGCGTCATCTGAGCCCGACACAACAACGCCTTGGGGAGAACACATCAGGTCCTCACGGGCTGGCGACAGTGCCGGAACTCTCATCAGCCCCGATCAGTACTGATCGCTGCTGATGACCGCGAGGACCTGGAGTTTTCGTGCATCTGCGTCCGAAGTCGCACACACTGATTTCCAGGGTGTTAGTCCACATCAGTATCTTGGCTGGCGCACCCCCAGCCGAGTATTGCGCATTAGCAAGCATTAAAAGTTAATATTGAAGATGGTGCTGCAGGTCTGCTATTCCTACAGACTGTCGGATGTGGCACCAACGATATAGCCCAGCAGGAGATACACGTCAGTGCGCTGGCCGTGGCGGGTGCAGCACCAGAAGTCTGGCGACTGTCGCAGCCAGGTGCTGGGCTGCGGCGCCGTCTTCAGCTGTCCGTCTGCGCGCCGGCAGGTTCGAGGAGGAGAAGCAGCGGCTGCTGCAGCTGGAGCGACGCCGCGCGGAGGAGGTGGAGCGGTCGCTGCAAAAGCAGCCGGCCGCCGACGCCCTGCCCTGTGAGCCGGCCCCTACAAATATTTGGTCAGGGGCAGCAATGCCAATAAGTTCTACAGTCTGGGGCGTGGGGGATAGGGGGACAGCTGCCTTTACTTCCCTGGCGGTCGCGTCTTTCGGGGCTTGCTGATGAAGGCTTCCATGCTTATTCGGCTGCAAAACGATTAAACGTCAACCCATGTGTTGACACTGCAAAGGTAATGCAGAATTAACATAGGTCTTGTTTTCCATGACAGGATTTACTCTCCGCCCATTACCGTCCTGTGCGAATCCCACCACGGCTTCATGCCTAAGTCACCCTGCCTGACTGTTTTGACTGTGATCGTTTTGACCGGCACCGACCCAAGTTGTGACCGTGCCCCTTCCTCGAACGTGTCTTGCGTACAGTTATAGAAGCAAAGACAGACACGTTGTTAGTTTATCCGCGGGAAGGCCACGCCTGGATTCTGAGCGTACTCTGTGGCGCGGCAGGATTTTCCTGGAGAAGATCCCGCAGCACCCGGAGTACCGCCAGGTGTCGCCGGGCGAGCGGGCCGCCATCAAGCGCCACCTGGACGCGACGCTGCTGCGCGCCGAGTTCATCAAGGGCCAGCTGATGCAGAAGTTCGAGAACGAGCACAAGGCCTGGCTCGCCGAACAGGTGGATACGGCCGGCCGGCAGCTAGATAGCTTCGCCGGCCGCTTCGCGCGGTCGCTTCGTCGGTCGCTTTGCCGGCCGTTTGGCGGTCGCTTCGCCGCCCGCTTCGCGCGGTCGCCCCACCAATTACATCCGCGGCGCATGCCCCAGTGACGTCACTTCAGCGGCGTCCGCGACGTCACCTCCACTGCGGCCAGGCTGACGTCATCCGTGACGTCACGACATTGTTAGAAAACTCGCCACCGCGATAGGCATCCGTAACATAAAAGACGCGCTCAAAATCAGCCTCTGAACAGGTTAGGAAACCCAAGCCGGTCACCACGACGCCCCAACGCACGTACGCACGTTCCTTCACGCTAGTTCACAGAGAATATCACGAACAGCTCTCAGTCTCCTGGCCGCGCCGGCGGCGTCTCAGCCGCGTCACTGTCGCCTCAGCCGCGCCTACACAGCGCCACCCGCCGGTCGCGCGCACGCCGCAGGCATCGGTGCCTTCACGGGTTGCGACGCGGGCGGATCTGGCGGCGACGAGGCGTCCCCGACGGCGGCCACGTCGACGGCCACGGCAGCAGCGTTGGCGCTGACGGCGGCAACGTCGGCGGCGACGGCGGCAAAGTTGAGCGGGCTACTGACGCAGATCGACTACGCTAATCTGGTAGCTGTTGTCCAGTGTCACGTGCTGCGCCTCCTGGAATAGGTCAAGGTCAATAGGTCAAATAGGTGGAATAGGTCAAAGCCCACCGTGAGCGCTCGAGTCGTACCGGAACACCTGCAGCGAGCACGCATACAAACCACTGTCAACGGATATGTAGACCTGCAAAACCATCTCAGCCCGCGTGGGCGGTCCCGGTAATTTTTTTAAAAATGATTTCAAGAGAGCACGACGTACATTGTCACGCCCCTTTCATGGAGCGCCAGCGACTGCATTGGCCATATTAGCGTGCAGGAAGCATGGCTTAACCGGGATTCGAACCCGGGTTCCCCACGTGGGAGTCTGATGAGCTAACCACTCCGACACTCCGCTACCAAAACAGGAGGTGATTGACCTCCGAAACAGAGGTGAAGCCCGGGATCACTGACCTCGAACAGCGGCGGCTCCTGCGGGTGAGGATGGAACCCCGTCTTGTGGCAGTTAGCGATATAGTCCAGGCCATATTTGGGAGGCAGCATGAAGAAGCCGGTCCTGCAATAGACGCTGTGTCAGCAAGGCGCAAACGAAAAACGGTCCAAACATCGCACCACATGATCAGGGCGAAACATGATAAAAAAAAAAACGCTTCGGGAAACGCATGCGGCCTAGTGTACCGAAAGAAGGGCATTAAATGAAATATTCGCCCCGTACCTAAAACATGTCACTGATATTGGGACTCTACGACGCACTCAGCTGCTGAGGCTATACGGCGTCGCCTGCCCCTCACCCTAGCAGGAAGGACAGCGCCGACCTTAAGCATGTTAATCGATAGCAGAAGTATAACAATCATTTCAAAATAGGCCGTAGGTTTTGCCAGTATCAAAGCCCAAACTGCGCACAATCTGTCACTGCGTTTCGTAAAAGGAACTGGCTCAATATTGACCAAACCCAGCTAGATTAGGTCCATGTTTGGACGCCAAACAATGCCGTGTTATGCATCGTCCAAGCAAGAGGTTAATGACCAGCGGCGGCCCGGGATTACCAATTCGCACACGCATTATTTAAATGCGCAAAATTAAAATGCACATGCGCATTCCGTCACTCCGTATGCGCAGTGACGGAATCACCAACGAATGTGCGTCAGCGAATTCCCAATCACTTAGTAAGCGCAAAGGTTGTTTCGGCTAATAGATCAGAGCCCAAGGGATTACGACGTTTAATAATATCGTTACAACAACAGCTGGGTGCGTATTTGGGCAGACAGGACCCACCGGATGCTGACACTGCGCCACATTCTTCGAAACAATAACCAACAACCCCACTCCGACCGACAATACGCAGAGCGCACCAACATCTACGTGACGCCGAGCACACCGCAAAGAGATACGACTAGCGGCATTCGGGTGAACAGGCGACATGCAACTACCAGACAGCCACGCATACACGCAGCAGACATGTTCGTGACGTACCATGCGACTGCTTTATTTTTTCACTTTTACTTGTTTCCTTCTTTTTGGTAAAACTCAAGTAGTTATCTATTCTACGTCCTATTTTGTGCTATTTTCCTTGTTTTTTTTTTGTTGCTCTCTTTTTCTTTTTGCAAAGGTAAAACACTTTTCTATTTCATCTCCTTGGACGTTGTGTTCAGGAGCCAGCTCAGCCGGTCTGCGCAGGCCCAGCCCGACGGCGACATTCGGCCTCGGAGCGCTTCAAGTGTGGCGGTCATTTCGCGTTCGCCCCCAGGCGAGCCCGATCTACTAAGGCGTGACGAGCACGCGGCACTGCGAACGCCGAGCAGCACACCACGAACCGTCCGCACCAGCAGGCGGCAATCGCGCGGCAGGCGGAGCCCGAGTGCGGCAGGCGGAGTCCGCGTGCGGCAGACGGAGTCCGCGTGCGGCAGGCGGAGTCCGCGTGCGGCAGGCGGAGCCCGAGTGCGGCAGACGGAGTCCGAGTGCGGCGAGCGGAGCCCGCGTGCGGCAGACGGAGTCCGCGTGCGGCAGGCGGAATCCGCGTGCGGCAGACGGAGCCCGAGTGTGGCAGGCGGAGTCTAAGTGCGGCAGGCGGAGCCCGAGTGCGGCAGGAGGAGCTCGGGTGCGGCGGGGTGGAGCCCGAGTGCAGCGGGGCGGCTTACTCGTTGTATTTGGGCGCGCAGACGATGGCTATGCTCTCGAGCATCATCAGCTGATAGCTGCAATGGGTGTGCAGGTCTACGGACGACAGGAACGCCGTCTGCGATGGGTGAGTCTGTCGGCGAGACGGCCAGGTCAGGTCAGGTCGGGTCAGAAACAAGGTCAGGTCAGACATTAGACTAGAAGTCCTGTCAGAGGTGATGTCAGAGGTCAGGTAGGAGATCAGATACGAGGTAAGTCAGAAACAAGGTCGGGTATGGGTCATTCTGAGGTCAGGTCAAAGGTCAGGCCAGAGGGCAGATCAGAGGTCACGTCAGATGCCAGGTCACGCCAGGTCAAGGATCAGGACGAGTCAGAGGTCGAAACGGCGCGTCATAAGCGACACAGGTCACAGCAGCAGTTCATCCGTTGACACGGCGGACATCCAACGACTCGGAGGGCGCGAGCCGAGAGCGAACACAACAATAACGCAGTGATCACAAGCCGCCGGCATATTAGAGCTGCTGACACATAGATGACTTATCATTTCATTTTACATTTGATGTTTTTTGCATTTGTTGCATTTAACACGTTGACAAATTGATAATCAGCATGCATTTCATCCACTGACAAACACACTGAAATAAAAAAGCCAAACACGATGTCCGGTGAGACACAGTCTAACTGGAGCATGAATACTTGCAGCCAGAACATTTGGAGCATAAATACTTGGGCACAATAATGTGCAGCCAGCCTAATGTGATGGTGCGGAAGACTCACATGTAGCCGGTCAAATGTGATGATTGGGAGAACTCCATTATATCCAGCCAAATGTGATAAGGGGAGAACTCAACAGGCATCCAGCTCAGTATGATGTTGGGGCGGACTCGCATGCGTCTAGGCCCAATGTAATGGGAGAGACATATCCACCCCAACGTGATGATGGGGAGGATTCACGTGCATCGCGCCAAGGGTGACACGGGGCTCGGGCTCACGTGTGTCCACCCGAGGACGACTCGGGTTTAGACCCACGTGCGTCTGGCCGAGGGTGAGTCGTGACTCTGACTCACATGTGTCCACCCGAGGACGACTCGGGTTCAGACCCACGTGCGTCTGGCCGAGGGTGACTCGTGACTACGACTCACGTGTCCACCCGAGGACGACTCAGGGTCAGATCCACGTGCGTCTGGCCGAGGGCGAGTCGCGACTCCGACTCACGTGTCCCGCCGAAGACGACTTGGAATCAGACCCACGTGCGTCTGGCCGAGGGTGAGTCGTGCCTCTGACTCACGTGTGTCCAGCCGAGGAAGACTCGGGTTCAGACCCACGTGCGTCTGGCCGAGGGCGAGTCGTGACTCTAACTCACGTGTATCCAGCCGAGGGTGGTGAGGTTGTGGGTGTCGAGGTAGGCGAACACACGCTCCTCTCCCTCCATGTTGCGCGAGTCGGACGTGCCCGTCTGGCTCGGGATCAGCACGTGCGTGACGTACAGCACGTCCTGCGACTAAAACGCGCACACGGCATGGAGGTCATGCACCCCTGCGTACACAATTCGACTGCATGATGCTGCGACTGAAGCTGAGCCACCATCTTTATATAGTTTGTGAGTTGTCTTACATAATCAAATTCAATCAGCCAGCTGCATTTTTTGTTTTCTTAATTCAAAACGAGTTTCTTGATGTCTACGGTAGAAAAAGATGGACAACATGGCCACACAAAACTTGCAACGCTGACAGTACATTGATGAATGATGCACGCAGGGCATACAATGGTGTTTAGGGGCCCCCGGGCCCTGGTGTTCCACTTGTGTCAAAAAGCCAACGACTCCACTCGAAGGACTACAGCATCCAAAACGTACACCCAACTCCATCTTCCGAACTTCCCTCACCACCCTCGCTCTCCGACCGTTCGCGTCAGTACAATCACGTAGATCCCTGCAGGCACCCTGCCGCCGCCGGTGTGCAGAGCCGGGTCAGCCCCGTCCCCCTCCCCTGCTCACCCGCCGGCGCGCTCACCGGCTTGCCGCAGAGCAGTCCGCACGTCTCCACGTTCTTGGCCGTGTTGGCCTCGGCAATCTTCAAGAAACTGCCCGGGGAGTGGAGAAAACGGCGCCGGGTGAGACCCGCGGGAGCGACGACAGGCAGTAACGGCGCCACATGGGGGGGGGGGGCTCAGGGGCGCGCTGACGGCCGAGGTCGTTTTGCGCCGCCACACGTGAACCGCTGTCACCGCTGCCGGCAGTGACGGTGAAATGTGCCGAAGCCAATTGTCACGACGTGGAACGACATGTCACAAGGCAGTCTGCAGGTACAACCAGCGGCTGTGACGTCCACTGGGGCGCCGGGATCAGTGAACAGTGCGCGACTGTATACGTTGCGCGTTATTCGCAACGTACGCAGCGTCTTGCGGCAATACACAATACATAACTCATTTGTTAGATGTAAACTCGGACACTTTTTACGCAGCATGAATGCGTCATCCACGCCACTAATTTATCGCTCTCGGGAGACTCTCTTGTCCGTTTGTCTGCGGTCCATAATGAGCTCGGAGCCTGACATTGTTTTATTCAAGGCTCGAATTTCTTTGTTGTGAGTTGTCAGAAGCCGTTCGGTAAAAGAAATCATATTTGCCGTCGCACAGTTCATTGATGTTATTGTTCTAGTTCGGATGGAAACTAATATTGAAACAACATTTTTGGGGGGACGCATATTATGTTGGATTTTGAGCTGCAAATGCTTTATTGCTATTTCTGCGAACACGTCATCCAATGCAATGACGGTTAAACGGACCCATTCTGTTTCGGGCCCTCATTCAAATATCGTGCTATGCGACCCCACAACTCTCGGCCACCCTGTGACCAGGCTGACGACCTCCTCTGAAGGCTGAAGCCAACGACCTCCGCGGTGCCCGCCCTTCCTGCCAAGGTGAGAAGCAGGCGACGCCCTATAGCCTCAGCAGCTGAGTGTGTCGCAAAGCCCCAATGACACACACATCAGCCAGCGACCGAATGGTCTTCCTTGACCAGCCATGTACAAAAACTATGTGCTGAAAAGAAACATTGGTACTGTTTTTGACAATCCTGGTATTTTTGGGGGCAATATGAAGCAAAGTATCCTGAATCTATGGCCTGATATTGACCTAGTGTAAGTCAACGACCTTACAAGGTGCGTCTAGTTTACTGGTGCCGGACGATCCGCTAGTGAATTGTCTACGGTTGTGCAAAATTTGGCGTGGCTGCACCGTGTCGCTGGGAAACCATTCTGGAAAAACCTACGGGGGAATGAAATTGACCCCCACCCGAGAGCGTGTTGATATAACACATCTTGAATGATACACAGGCGTGCAATAAAGTACAGTTGCACATGGTGGCGCTGTGACTTAAATCTAAGCAAAACTAGAAAGTTGTTGCAGATTGTGTAAGCCGAAAGCCGAAACAATTAACCCGAAACACTTGGTCTGCAAACCCAACAGCTGAATCCGTTAATGTAGCGGGATGCTTACCGACCCATAGAAACGTATGCTCGTCGCATACATAAGTGCACCTAACAGCGCTGGAGATCCCCTCTCACAGAAATAGAAAGTGGTGTCTGCTCTCTAAAAAACCGACAACTAAAAATGTCAACCAGTGAGCGGATAAGGAAAGAAAAAAACTTCACGAACCTAGGACCATAAGACACGCAGCGGTTTGAGAAGTTAAACTGAAAAGCTCGCAAGGGAGGGGATGACCTTCATAGGCTAAATCGGGTTTGATTATCCGGGCTCAGCAATGACTCCTCACGGCTAAGCCCGACTCCATCCCCCACAGCCAAAAATACGTGACGCCACCCATAGCCGCCATAGAAGAAAGCTTTCGGCGCCAGAAGGTGGGCTCTAGAGGGGCGCCTTTTCTTTCCGATCAGAAGGGGTACGTGCTGCCATTACCCCCTCCCCCGTGGTCCCTCCCCGCAAGACTACCATGGTACTTAAATTGAGAGTTATTCGATAATAAGCACACCCATTAAGAAGTTCAACTGACTTTTGTCAGAAAAGTGGCTTAAATGCGTTGTGAAAAAAAAAAATGGGAAAGGTGGTGCCGTTGAGTGCTCAGCTAGGCCCGCCTTATCATTTACGTACACTGACATCCTTGCCCCTGGCCTTCCGAAGCCCGTAATGATGAATGGCGCAACATGAGGGTCCTACATGGAGGTCAGGGCACCGGGCATACCTAAAGGTAAGGGTGCCGGGTTCTGCGTGAGGGTCAGGGTACCGGGTACCGCATGACACATACCTAGCATCAACTGACTGGGGTGTAGTTTCTTATTCAATCGGGGGGGCGGAGGGAGACTCCAATGATCAAAACTTGGGCTTAGCCTCTCCCTTTCAACTTAGACTTCAGCCCCCCCCCCCTGACCGTGCGAAGAAAGTGAGCCAAACCGGGGAAAAACGTGTGTTTGCGTTTTTTAGGGGTGGGTTGCGTCACCTTTCGCTGTTTAGCCCCGCCCCGGTTCTTAAGCGCCCTTGGCCACTGGATGGTGGTGCAGCACCATAAAGATTGCCTTAATATTATTGCTAGATGCAATGCGAAGCTTACACCAGACTGGGAGAGGGGGATCACCCCGCATTCGAGTACACAGCAATCTAACCATTTGGTGCTTAAGTCATAGCTTTCAATGTAATAATGACGCAGGATCTTTTCTTCTTTTTTTTTGCTTTGTGCTACCTAACAGCGTAATCCAGGAGACAAGATGACATACATGTCAAGGTAGCTACCTTGACATGTACCTAGCTACCGGACAAGAGCTACCTAGCTACCGGACAAGAGAGTCTCCCGAGAGCGATAAATTAGTGGCGTGGATGACGCATTCATGCTGCGTAAAAAGTGTCCGAGTTTACATCTAACAAACCAAAAAACGGTCAAATTTTAGAAGATTTCTCCGAGCATCTAACACTTGCCCTCATCTAGGGAAATAGCTTTGCGGTTGCGATGGTCATGTTAGGGTGCTGCACCGTCCCTGGCGACACCACTACGCGGAAGGCCCACAAATCCAAACTTTGCTGTTTCTCACAGATCCATTTAAAAATGAATTTAGATGAGCATAAGCTATAAGTTGGCATTCGCCACCCCCATTACCCAAAGAACCGTCTTCATGAACGAAGTACGCTGGGCCTGAAACAGCGCTTAAGCGTCTCTTATTCGTGGTCAGCATTGGGTTTTATCCTTGATTTTTTCCTGGAATCAACAGGGTGCAAAATACATGGGCTTCGAGGTATCAAGCTAAAGTTCACGCCGCACGCTCTCGTTTTGGGGTGGGAAAAGGGCTAAGCCGTCAGCATCGGTGCCAATTTTTTATGTCAAAGGATTTTCGGATAGTACTTAAGTAACAGAATCCACCACACAAGCCACTTAAATGCTACTAAATAAGCAATATAGGGCAATCTAGGTCTCTTATAAGATAATTACTTTCCTATTCATGTTCCTTCAGCGTCTCAAATACGCTAGAATTGAGGATAGTTTTGTAAGCCTGTACATCTGTTCGTATCAAGTTATCTGCCATCTCGGCACAAAGTGACCCAATCCAAACACTGTTTTATGCACATTGTTGATGAATAAACCTGATTCTGACGATATCAACAGCAGACGAACATCATTAATCCAGTTAGTGTACACAACCTTGCTGTGTGCTGCATGAGTCACTGACGACGACGGTGGGGGGCGGCGCTGGGAAGTTTGGTGGGGTACTGGGGAGGTAGATCGGAAGGGTTCGCCCGCGTGTCCAGGTAAAAATGAACACCAGCACATATAAAAGGCGGACCTGCTATTTTTTCATTTGCACAGAGTTTGCAGTGTTCGTAGCCGTGGGCATGGATAGACACTGAGGCGGTCAGCGAATGTCCATAGCGTTATAATATCGGGTACTTGCTCTAGAGCTGCTCAACAGCTTTGTCGAGGATTTTGTATGCTCTTCAAGCCAACTGCAAAGGTCAGGTAGAGCTTTAAAGCTTGGAGGACGTCAGGTTGATATCATTGTGATCAAACCCATATTAAACCCTGAAACCCTGAAACCCTGAAAGCCTGCTGAGTGCAAAGTAAGGAAATGTTTTATTTGGTGCTTGATAGACCTAGGTATGTATGGTGAAGCACTATGAGCCATGACCACTTCCTCTGGATTGTTATCAGTGCAGTAAATCTATGCTATTTTAATGAATACTTGCTAGGGACTCCCACAACATGAATGCCACAAAGTGCTGACACAGCTCAGAACCAAGCTACCACATAACAGACTAGTGCATAGTTGGTTTGCCATCACATTAGTGTGGTGTAGGTGTACTTCCCTACCTAACGTTAGAAAAAATCATTGCACGTCATTTGTCGTGTTTAAGGCCGAACAATATAATCTCAAAACGGGTAGAATCGCGCTCCCACCTTCAAATTCCAATAACTACAATAGCAAGCACCTGAGTGCGCACGCACCTCACGCCTTGACTCCCCAGAGCCATTTCTGCGTTGTTGTTGAGTAATTACAATATTTCTGCTTATGAAGAACCATGAAAAATGTACAAGACTAAGGTAACAACAATAATACAAAGAAAAGAGTTTCTTATCACATTTAGGTATGTTTATGAAATGCGCAGGCCAGAATAGTCTAGAACATATCCTAAACTAGCCTATCCTAACCTAACCTAACCTATTCTAACCTAACCTAACCTAACCTAACCCAACCTAACCTAACCTAACCTAACCTAACCTCCCCATCCTACATCCCCTTCAACCCAGCATCCCATTGGCATCCATACTCCATGCCATATATAAGTACCCTATAGTGAGCTTTTATTTAGCCGCCATGTTCTCATTTTGCCTTACATTCCCTTCCCAATCCTCCTGCAGCCCATGGCCTGTTGGTGTCAAGGATCAAATTTGATGGATTCTTGTTACCTTGGCCCCTACATTTTTATGGTTCTTCTGCCTTAAAAACAACAATTGATGTACAATGCTTTTTTGTAACATGAGGTAGGAAAGTACACCCTGACCCATTAGTGCTGTTGGTCAGCACCAATTTCAGTGCCCATGAAGCCATGGTTTTAAAGCATCATGGTGTTCCAGATTCAAGCTCAGGCAAAAAGATCTCAAAAACATCTCACAAAAAAGGAATATAAAGTTCAGCACCATTTGACCTGGTTTTAGGTATATGCACATAAGCATGAGGTTTAGGGCACAGCTGTTGTTGATATATGACACATTCACATGATTGATGCATGTTTTGTAGATAAGGTCATAAACATGGGAACTAGAGGTAAAGGCAAGGCTTCCACAAATTTTCTGGAAATGTATCATTCACCCAATGGCCATGAACTGAGAGAAATAACCAGATATGGCTATCCCAACCTTCTTGGTGGGGAGGACTAACTAGTGATTGAGCCATTGCCTGTCTTGAAGTATAAGCATTTTACCTCATGGCCTTCCCTAGGGTTCTGGTCTCACTCTGGGTCACCAAGGCTGTCTGTTGAATGCTGGACCAGAGAAATTAGAAAAGGTCTGCTGCTTGCATGGATGAGAAAGGTGCATGCCACAGTGTGTACTTGGACAACAATGTTGCACAACAGTGATGTAATAGAACTGTTGCTTTTTACAGATGTTACTTTTTAAGAAGACTGACTTTTTCAACTACACTAACAAAATATGCTCCTTTTAACATTGCATCTGGAATTTGCAGGCACAAACTCAGCCCCTCTCGCCACCTGCCGCTGAATGCTGAGACTGACACTCTCGGCCAGGGAGGCTTCCGACGTCATGGAGGAGGCACCTGTCCGCATCAAACATCTGGCTGATATGGCCAACTATGACATTGACTACACCAGACCAGCCAGGATGTGAGACAACTCTGCTCCGTGTGCACTGACTGAGCAACTACAAAAGGGGTGACAGAATGTGTACAGGGCTTGTGTTGCAAACCGTCTTTGAAGAGCTTTTTCCACATAATTATAGGGAGATGAGTGCCAACATGAGCATAAGTGTGAGACTAGTGTTACCACCCAGTGGATCAGGATGTGCTCTTTGCTGTGATATGTAATGCTATAAGCAATAATTTGTGCTGCACATTTTGTCATCTTGTAATCCTTCTAATTACTGCCTAGCTGTTGTTGCATTTTGCCCATGTGAGGACTGTGACTGTGTGTCAGAGTCTGCCTCAAGAGCCTGGTCAGTGGGGGTACATGTATTCCAAGTCTGATTCAGTTACCTGTGGGTGGGTAGGTTTAAGCCACCTGAAATCCTCACTGACTGGGATGACCTGCTGCCCTTGTCTGTGACTCAACCTTGACCCTTTGCACTCAAAAGGTCATATGATGTCAGACCACAGGGCAGGTCTTGTCAGCATTGGGACATGTTAAGCTTTCATCTCCAATGCTGCCAGGGGCCCAAAATTTTATGACCATGTTGTGGGGTCAGGGTTCACTCAGCAGGCACTGCTTAGCATTACTACTGACCTGAGAAGTCCTTGTCATTGACAAAATTATACATAAGCTTTAAAAATGGAGGGAGATCACAGTTTTGGGGAGCCAGTACTCCCATTGAATTATGGGTGCAATAGCAAGCTTGTGCTGTGCCAAAGCAAAAAACGCTCACTGTCTTTGTTTGCTTGCAAAAGCTTGTGCTGTCTTTGTTGTCATTGTATGCTGATTGTTGCAATGTCACAGCAGTCGGTTCTGCTAGTGATGGCTGGGCTGACATCCATTACCACCACAGAGCAACGGTTCGCACATCCTGTGTGCTGTATCACTGCCACTGGGATGTTCCAGGTACTTCCGTTCCGGTGTGGAGATGGTGCGGATGGCCAACGTGTATGCCGAGGAAGGCAACCTCGAGGGCGCCTACGTGCTCTATATGAAGTTCATGACGTGATGTTCCTCACATACATTGCATGCAGTTCTTCAAGACTGCTCTCCTGCGCTCTGGCTGTTCTGTTGATGCTGGTTCAGGTGTTGGTGTATTATCATCCATTGTTTCCCTAGCTCAGCAGAGTGGCATAGTGTGGAATTTTGTGCAAAGAGCGAGGGGCTTCCATGTTTTTTACTTCCTTTTTTTTCTTTGTTGTAATGCCATGTGGATTACACTACAAATATTTGGTCAGGGGTGGCAATTCCAATGAGTTCTACAGTCGGGGGGGGGGGGGGGGGTGTAGGGGGACAGCTGCCTGTACTTCCCCGGCTTTCGGGCGCTTCGGGGCTTGCTGATGAAGGCTTCCATGCTTATTCGGCTGCAAAACGATTAAACATTAACCCGTGTTGACACTGCAAGGGTAATGCAGAATTAACATAGGTCTTGTTTTCCATGACAGGATTTACTCTCCGCCCATTACCGTCCTGCGCGAATCCCACCACGGCTTCATGCCTAAGTCACCCTGCCTGACTGTTTTGACTGTGATCGTTTTGACCGGCACCGACCCAAGTTGTGACCGTGCCCCTTCCTCGAACGTGTCTTGCGTACAGTTATAGAAGCAAAGACAGATACGTTGTTAGTTTATCCGCGGGAAGGCCACGCCTGGATTCTGAGCGTACTCTGTGGCGCGGCAGGATTTTCCTGGAGAAGATCCGGCGGCACCCGGAGTACCACCAGGTGTCGCCGGGCGAGCGGGCCGCCATCAAGCGCCACCTGGAGGCGACGCTGCCGCGCGCCGAGTCCATCAAGGGCCAGCTGATGCAGAAGTTCGAGAACGAGCACAAGGCCTGGCTCGCCGAACAGGTGGATACGGCCGCCTCGCCGGTCGCTTCGTCGGCCGCTTCGCCGGCTGTTTCGCGCGGTCGCTTCGCCGGTCGCTTCGCCGGCGAGGACCGCGTCGTCATGCGACGCTTCGTCGGCTGAAAGCCGTCGACGGTGTTTTCCACGCAAATGCGAAAGGCCTGTCGCGAAATGCGGGCTTTTTGGAGAGGACAGATTCGGTGTGAGAGTGGAACGGTAGCTTTGCTCATCTGGGAAGGTCGTGACCGTCGAGATGCGCGTTGTCGCCGTGAACGATGGGTCTGGCACTGTTGTCTCTCGCCGGTGGGCGCTGCGTGGGGTCACGAGGGGCCGGAGCGGCGGGCAAGCTCGGACCCACGGCGCGGGGTCGGCGGCGACCGTTCTGTTATCAGAGCTTCCGCCGCTGTATGGCTCCTGGTTTGGTGTTTGTCCGGGACAAATGTGAATGGTAATTTATTTGTGTAGCGAGACCATCAACCAAACCGACGACACATGTCACGGTGTGTGCGTGGCACTGATTGTTCGGTGTAGATAGTTTATATCATTGGTGACGTCATATTACCTCTGCAGCTGAGTGCGTTGTGAAGTCCCATGCCGGCGATCCTTTGCATCATTATGTGCAGTACCTGATAACCGCTGTGGCCTCCACAATCTGGTGGCTTACGTAGTGTCATCGCGGTAGAAAGGCGGCCAGAAAGTTACACTATCCCTCGCTCGCCAGTGTGCCCGGAGTGCGGGGGCCTCGTTCCCAGCCGAGCGTAGCCGGGCGGCTGGCCGACCTGGCCGTCCCCGTCCTGACCGTGATTCTAACGTCCCCGTCCTGGCTGCGTACTGACCGTGTCCCCGTACCCGGCGGCAGCGGATGTTAGAGGAGGAGCTGGCGCAGCGGCGGCAGGATGAGGCCCTCCGGCAGTCACAGCAGCAGCACGAGCAGCAGGAGCGCCGCAGGTTGGTCCACGCTGGCGCGGCAGGTCGGTCCACACCGGTAGGTCAGTCCACAACGGCAGGTCCGTCCACACCGGCAGGTCCATCCACACGGGCAGGTCCGTCCACACCGACAGGTCGGTGCACACCAACTCCGCAGGTCGGTCCACGCCGGGGGGTCAGTCCACGCCGGCAGGTCCGTCCACACCAACTCCGCAGGTCGGTCCACGCCGGCGCCGCAGGTCGGTGTACACCGGCAGGTCGGTTCACACTGGGCCGCAGGTGATCTGGCGTCATCTGAGCCCGACACAACAACGCCTTGGGGGAGAACACATCAGGTCCTCACGGACTGGCGACGGTGCCGGAACTCTCATCAGCCCCGATCAGTACTGATCGCTGCTGATGACCGCGAGGACCTGGAGTTTTCGTGCATCCGCGTCCGAAGTCGCACACACTCATTTCCAGGGTGTTAGTCCACATCAGTATCTTGGCTGGTGCATCCCTAGCCGAGTATTGCGCATTAGCAAGCATTAAAAGTTAATATTGAAGATGGTGCTGCAGGGCTGATATTCCTACAGACTGTCGGATGCGGCACCAACGATATAGCCCAGCAGTAGATACACGTCAGTGCGCTGGCCGTGGCGGGTGCAGCACCAGAAGTCTGGCGACTGTCGCAGCCAGGTGCTGGGCTGCGGCGCCGTCTTCAGCTGTCCGTCTGCGCGCCGGCAGGTTCGAGGAGGAGAAGCAGCGGCTGCTGCAGCTGGAGCGACGCCGCGCGGAGGAGGTGGAGCGGTCGCTGGAAAAGCAGCCGGCTGCCGACGCCCTGCCCTGTGAGCCGACCCCTCCCCCTCCCCAGCTCCGGGGTCGGCCTTTAGGCGCTTAACTGTCCACGACAGGCGCATCGCATTGTGGCTTTGGTGCGCCCGCAAGCGCGTGGCTATTCTTGCGCGCGTCGCGAGGGGACCGCGATTATCGACGATGAGAATCGGTTCAACTGACGTTCATGCGCCGGAATCGTTTAAAGGGTTCATGACGCATTTCGTGACGCACCTCGTGGAGCGGGGCGCGGGTCGCGGCCATGCTGGAGGCTGGGTAGCTGGTGGTACTCGACACCGGGGATTTACCATACGGCGGTCCGATGCTGCAGGGTCTGCTCCCTTGCGCCACTCTGCCAACAATCCGCACATTTATCTGTGTGGGTAACTAATGAAGCAAACATGTGTAAGGAAATGTTACGTTTGCAACCTTGTTTATACGAGATGGTAAATGAGTGATAATAACTAAGTGATAAAACCAAGTTGTATTAACTAAGTCATAATCATGAAATAATACTAAGACTTAGTGATAATGCATAAGAGATAATAACTAAATGATAATAAATAAGTGATACTAACTAAGTGATAGAAACTTAGTTATAGCTGCTAAGTGGTACCCGCTAAACGATGCCTACTAAGTGATATGCGAGAATTATCAAGATGCGTAGCACACGCCTAACACATGGGCAGCCTTGCCAGCACAGAGTGATGCTGACTGACCAGCAGCGCACCAGGGGCACCGGTCAGGCCAGCTGACTGGGGGAGGGCTGTAGTCTGACGAGAGCCGCTCTCCCACAGCCTACGCAGCGCTGCTGCCAGAGCCGCCGACGGCGCCGCCCTCATACAGCGCCGCGGCGGCAGCGACCGACAGGGCTGCCGGCCGGCCCGCCTCCGCGGGGTGAGACGCAGCCCCAGCGGCGGGGGATGGGGCGGCACGGGGCGGGCTCAGCAGCGGCGGTGCCTCGAGGGTGGGGTGCCGCTGAGGATCGGACGGGGGCGTTTGAGAGTGTTAGCCGTAGATTGTAAGCGTTAGAAATGCAAGATAGGGGCGTTAGATTGTAACTGCTAGAAATACAACATGGAAGGTGTGGATTGTAAGCATCAGAAATGCATGATAGATCCCAGCACAGCGATCAGCATGCTTAATGGGCGTAGCATATGGGCGCCATAAGGCCAGGACATTCGGCGCGCCATAAAGCCCAAATCATCATCATTGGACATAGTGCATGTCATGCTCAGATAAAAGAAGAAAGATCAGTCTGCTTTGCAGCGTAGACCCGAGTTGGGAACATGTTGCGTCATTACTAGAGCCGCGATGCTGTGTCACGCTCCCAGACGCGTGCGTGCATATGTACTGGAACAGCTGCAGCCCAAGTCGTCTGATACTATGATGGCCTCCACAGAGTGCCATCTGTTGACCGGTCTGTGAAGCCGCGCTTCGACCACTCGATGTCGCTGCTGTCGCTGCGGTCGGACTTCCGCACAGTCGTGGTGCCTGACTCCCTCATGCCTAGGTGAGGGCGGTGCATTGCGCTCACGTGGTCTTTCCTTGCATGCCTCCAGTCCGCCGTCGTGCTTTTAAACAGTGTCTTCCGTTTCTTTGCTGATGTGTTAACCGTTCTGTGCGGCGTTCCAAAATTCATCCAGTGGGGTGTGCGGGGTGTGAATATAAATTCATGCTACCAGAATCCTGGCTCTCCGGCGGTCCCCGCATGCAGGTTTTGGGCGCTAATCCGTCGCCTTTGACCCCGACTCAGGCATCTGACTATCCAGCCCATTTGTCAAGCCTGAGGCACGTAGATACTTGTTTGAGAGCCGCCCAACTCGATCCTGACAGGCCGGTCTTGATCGATGGGAGGGGCAGCATGTGGTGGCCCCTCCCACCCAAGTGGCCGAATATTGGGACACTGACTTTGTGGCTCCTGTGCTGTTTCTCCCAGCACCGGCTTCACCAGGTCCTGGGTCCATGTCGTTGTCTTCCTGTGGCGCTGTCACCACCCTGCCCCGAACGGCACTTCTGACCTCGATATGGACTACAGACGGGATCCGTGACCACTGAGTTGTGTATTGTCGCCGATGAGTTGTATATTGTCACCGAGGAGATGTGTTTTTTCACCGGGGAGTTGTGTATTCTTACCGAGGAGTCGTGTATTCTCATCAATGAGTTGCGTATTGCCACCAAAGAGTCGTGTATTGTCTCCGATGAGTTGCGTGTTGTCACCAATGAGTTGGGTATTGTCAATGATGAGTTGTGTATTGTGTATTGCCGCCAGACGCTGCGTACGTTGCGAACAACGTGCAACGTATACAGTCGCGCACTGTTCACTGATCCCGGCGCCCCAGTGGACGTCACAGCCGCTGGTTGTACCTGCAGACTGCCTTGTGACATGTCGCTCCACATCGTGACAATTAGCCTCCGCACATTTCACCATCACTACCGGCAGCGGTGACAGCGGTTCACGTGTGGCGCCGCAAAACGACCTCGGCCGTCAGCGCGCCCCTGAGCCCCCCCCCCCCCCCCCATGTGGCGCCGTACTGCCTGTCGTCGCTCCCGCGGGTCTCACCCGGCGCCGTTTTCTCCACTCCCCGGGCAGTTTCTTGAAGATTGCCGAGGCCAACACTGCCAAGAACGTGGAGACGTGCGGACTGCTTTGCGGCAAGCCGGTGAGCGCGCCGGCGGGTGAACAGGGGAGGGGGACGGGGAGGGGCTGACCCGGATCTGTACACCGGCGGCGGCAGGGTGCCTGCAGGGATATACGTGATTGTACTGACGCGAACGGTCGGAGAGCGAGGGTGGTGAGGGAAGTTCGGAACATGGAATTGGGCGTACGTTTTGGATGCTGTAGTCCTTTCGAGTGGAGTCGTTGGCTTTTTTGACACAAGAAGTGAAACACCAGGGCCCGGGGGCCCCTAAACACCATTGTATGCCCTGCGTGCATCATACATCAATGCACTGTCAGTGTTGCAAGTTTTGTGCGGCCATGTTGTCCATCTTTTTCCACCGTAGACATTAAGAAACTCGTTTTGAATTAAGAAAACAAAAATGTAGCTGGCTGATTGAATTTGATTATGTAAAACAACTCACAAACTATATAAAGATGGTGGCTCAGCTTCAGTCGCAGCACCATGCAGTCGAATTGTGCACGCAAGGGTGCATGACCTCGGTGCCGTGTGCGCGTTTTAGTCGCAGGACGTGCTGTACGTCACGCACGTGCTGATCCCGAGCCAGACGGGCACATCCGACTCGTGCAACATGGAGGGAGAGGAGCGTGTGTTCGCCTACCTCGACACCCACAACCTCATCACCCTCGGCTGGATACACGTGAGTCAGAGTCACGACTCGCCCTCGGCCAGACGCACGTGGGTCTGAACCCGAGTCGTCCTCGGGTGGACACACGTGAGTCAGAGTCACGACTCACCCTTGGACGCGATGCACGTGAATCCTCCCCATCATCACGTTGGGGTGGATATGTCTCTCCCATTACATTGGGCCAGACGCATGCGAGTCCGCCCCAACATCATACTGAGCTGGATGCCTGTTGAGTTCTCCCCTTATCACATTTGGCTGGATATAATGGAGCTCTCCTAATCATCACATTTGACTGGCTACATGTGAGTCTTCCGCACCATCACATTAGGCTGGCTGCACATTATTATGCCCAAATATTTATGCTCCAAATATTCTGGCTGCAAGTATTCATGCTCCAGTTAGACTGTGTCTCACTGGACATCGTGTTTGGCTTTTTTTATTTCAGTGTGTTCGTCAGTGGATGAAATTCATGCTGATTGTCAATTTGTCAACGTGTTAAATGCAACAAATGCAAAAAACATCAAATGTAAAATGAAATGATAAGTGATCTATGTGTCAACAGCTCTAATATGCCGGCGGCTTGTGATCACTGCGTTATTGTTGTGTTCGCTCGCGGCTCGCGCCCTCAGAGTCGTTGGAGGTCCGCCGTGTCAGCGGATGAACTGCTGCTGTGACCTGTGTCGCTTATGACGCACCGTTTCGACCTCTGACTCGTCCTGATCCTTGACCTGGCATGTCCTGGCCTGACCTGACATCTGACCTGACCTCTGATCTGCCCTCTGGCCTGACCTTTGACCTGACCTCAGAATGACCCCATACCTGACCTTGTTTGTGACTTGATCTCGTATCTGATCTCCTACCTGACCTCTGACATCACCTCTGACATGACTTCTAGTCTAATGTCTGACCTGACCTTGTTTCTGACCCGACCTGACCTGACCTGGCCGTCTCGCCGACAGACTCACCCATCGCAGACGGCGTTCCTGTCGTCCGTAGACCTGCACACCCATTGCAGCTATCAGCTGATGATGCTCGAGAGCATAGCCATCGTCTGCGCGCCCAAATACAACGAGTAAGCCGCCCCGCTGCACTCGGGCTCCACCCCGCCGCACCCGAGCTCCTCCTGCCGCACTCGGGCTCCGCCTGCCGCACTTAGACTCCACCTGCCGCACTCGGGCTCCGTCTGCCGCACGCGGATTCCGCCTGCCGCACGCGGACTCCGTCTGCCGCACGCGGGCTCCGCTTGCCGCACTCGGACTCCGTCTGCCGCACTCGGGCTCCGCCTGCCGCACGCGGACTCCGCCTACCGCACGCGGACTCCGTCTGCCGCACGCGGACTCCGCCTGCCGCACTCGGGCTCCGCCTGCCGCGCGATTGCCGCCTGCTGGTGCGGACGGTTCGTGGTGTGCTGCTCGGCGTTCGCAGTACCGCGTGGTCGTCACGCCTTAGTAGATCGGGCTCGCCTGGGGGCGAACGCCAAATGACCGCCGCACTTGAAGCGCTCCGAGGCCGAATGTCGCCGTCGGGCTGGGCCTGCGCAGACCGGCTGAGCTGGCTCCTGAACACAACGTTCAGGGAGATGAAATAGAAAAGTGTTTTACCTTTGCAAAAAGAAAAAGAGAGCAACAAAAAAAAAACAAGGAAAATAGCACAAAATAGGACGTAGAATAGATAACTACTTGAGTTTTATCAAAAAGAAGGAAACAAGTAAAAGTGAAAAAATGAAGCAGTCGTATGGTACGTCACGAACATGTCTGCTGCGTGTATGCGTGGCTGTCTGGTAGTTGCATGTCGCCTGTTCACCCGAATGCCGCTAGTCATATCTCCTTGCGGGGTGCTCGGCGTCACGTAGATGTTGGTGCGCTTGGCGTATTGTCGGTCGGAGTGGGGTTGTTGGTTATTGTTTTGAGGAATGTGGCGCAGTGTCAGCATCCGGTGGGTCCTGTCTGCCCGAACACGTACCCAGCTGTTGTCATAACGATATTGCTAAACGTCGTAATCCCTTGGGCTCTTATCTATTAGCCGCAACAGCATTTGTGCTTACTCAGTGATTGGGAATTCGGTGACGCACACTCATTGGTGATTCCGTCACTGCGTATACGGAGTGACGGAATGTGCATGTGCATTTTAATTTTGCGCATTTAAATAATGCGTGTGCGAATTGGTAATCCCGTGCCGCCGCTGGTCATTAACCTCTTGCTTGGACGATGCATAGCACGGGATTGTTTGGCGTCCAAACATGGACCTAATCTAGCTGGATTTGGTCAATATTAGGCCGGTTCCTTTTACGAAACGCAGTGACAGATTGTGCTTTGCAGTTTGGGCTTTGATACTGGCAAAACCTACGGCCTATTTTGAAATGGTTCTTATACCTCTGTTATCGATTAACATGCTTAAGGTCGGCGCTGTCCCTCCTGCTAGGGTGAGGGGCAGGCGACGCCGTATAGCCTCAGCAGCTGAATGCGTCGTAGAGTCCCAATATCAATGACATGTTTTAGGTCGGGGCGAATATTTCATTTAATGCTCTTCTTTCGCTACACTAGTCTGCATGCGTTTCCTGAAGCGCTTTTTTGATCATATTTCGCCCTGATCATGTGGTGCGATGTTAGGATCGTTTTTCGTTTGCGCCTTGCTGACACGGCGTCTATTGCAGGACCGGCTTCTTCATGCTGACTCCCAAATATGGCCTGGACTATATCGCAAACTGCCACAAGACGGGGTTCCATCCTCACCCGCAGGAGCCGCCGCTGTTCGAGGTCAGTGATCCCGGGCTTCACCTCTGTTTCGGAGGTCAATCACCTCCTGTTTTGGTAGCGGAGTGTCGGAGTGGTTAGCTCATCAGACTCCCACGTGGGGAACCCGGGTTCGAATCCCGGTTAAGCCTTGCTTCCTGCACGCTTATGTGGCCAATGCAGTCGCTGGCGCTCCATGAAAGGAGCGTGACAATGTACGTCGTGTTCTCTTGAAAACATTTTTAAAAAAATTCCCGGGACCGCCCACGCGGGCTGAGATGGTTTTGCAGGTCTACATATCCGTTGACAGTGGTTTGTATGCGTGCTCACTGCAGGTGTTTCGGTACAACTCGAGCGCTCACGGTGGGCTTTGACCTATTCCACCTATTTGACCTATTGACCTTGACCTGTTCCAGGAGGCGCAGCACGTGACACGGGACAACAGCTACCAGATTAGCGTAGTCGATCTGCGCCAGTAGCCCGCTCAACTTTGCCGCCGTCGCCGCCGACGTTGCCGCCGTCGTCTTCGACGTTGCCGCCGTCAGCGCCAACGCTGCTGCCGTGGCCGTCGACGTGGCCGCCGTCGGGGACGCCTCGTCGCCGCCAGATCCGCCCGCGTCGCTACCCTTGAAGGCACCGATGCCTACGGTGTGCGCGCGACCGGCGGGTGGCGCTGTGTAGGTGCGGCTGAGGCGACAGTGACGCGGCTGAGACGCCGCCGGCGCGGCCAGGAGACTGAGAGCTGTTCGTGATATTCTCTGTGAACTAGCGTGAAGTGAACGTGCGTACGTGCGTTGGGGCGTCATGGTGACCGGCTTGGGTTTCCTAACCTGTTCAGAGGCTGGTTTTGAGCGCGTCTTTTATGTTACAGATGCTATCGCGGTGGCGAGTTTTCTAACAATGTCGTGACGTCATGGATGACGTCAGCCTGGCCGCAGTGGAGGTGACGTCGCGGACGTCGCTGAAGTGACGTCACTGGGGCATGTGCCGCGGTTTCCGTGATGGAGTCGGACAGCTTCGGCTGTGGCGTGGTGTTTTGCACTCCCTCATCTATATTGTGCACGAATATACTAGGTCTTGACGACTTTTATTGAGGCGAAGCGGGCGTTTTGTAAGGGCGACTCCGGAGTCAGGGCTCGTGGCAAGGATAGCGTGTTTTGTCGACACCGTCTTCGTGAACATAGTCGAACGATACCAGTGCAACGGGCAGTTTAGTCTCGCAGATTGTACCGCCTTACGCGATGTCAAAACACTAGCACCCTTGTGACAGGCCGGCCAGTTACTAAATGACTGGCCGGTGACAAAAACCAAAACGCGACCAAAACACACGCGTTTTGGTCGCGACGCCGCAAGTTCGCTGGCTTGGTCATCGCGACATGCCCTTACGTGTCGTCATTCTCTATTCTCGGGACGCGGGTGTGGAGGATTGCCCACCCACTCAGGCACCAGCGATGTTTATAGGCCTTGACAAACGTTGAAAGTAGTGGGTGCCAGGTATTTGTACAAACGTACTGAATGCTCGCACGTCATTGGTAGAAATGTCGCCTTATTGAGCACCGCGCCATTTAGATAAGCCAATTATAGGACCGCTCTCAAGAAGTAGTATCTTGAGTATCTGGAGTGCGCACTCAAGAAGTAGTAGTACTCAAGTATCTGTGTTGTCCTATATGCGCGATGTATTAGTTTTTTAAGCAGCATTAAGTCAAAATATCAGTAAAAATTGAAAGTTGAACGCAGCTTTGAAAGAACGCAAATAACACTTAAAACACTAAGCACGTGATTTGTGTTTTTCTGAGACCAGGTTTAACCAGTTTTGAACCAAACCTTCTGGTATCTGGTAAGCAAACCGGGTTTCAATGGCTGGGAGAGCAATCTCGCCAAGCCACACATGGCTAAGCCATTCTGGTTCTTGGGTGAATAAATGGATGAATGGGCCTACTGAAAACTAACAGACCTAGCTGTGCTAAAAGTTTAAGAGCTGGGGTTCTACCATAAATCAAGCAACACACTTTGCCGTTAGCTGCAGGCCTGAAAGATCGCTAACGCCGTTTTGTTTTGTGAAATTTGGTCATATGTCTATAAGCCATAAAGGAATCGATTGTTTCCACGCATCTCAATCCATTCCCGTGCATTCCATGCATCGCCATTGCTTCAACGCAAGATGGCGATGAGGACTCCTTGCCGCCTCTCCCGTCCCCGATCCTGTTCATTTATTAAGCACGTAAGCACACCTGGGTGTCGCTCGAACGTGCCATTGGGTGTCAAGTCCCCGTCGTTCCAAACCAGGGTACAGTTTCCTATTCTGAATGGAATGGCCTTCCCCAACTGTGGCAGGAAAAACGGACAAATCTAGGGGAGAAACTCGCCTTTTACGCATTTTAGAGGAAGGTTAGCCATTGTTCTGTTCAGTCCTCCTCCCTTACTCAACACTTATTGTGTAAAACTTCAGTACCCTTGTTCGAAACGTCTGTGGAGGAAAATAACTAACATCGGTGTACCCTTTCTCCACGAAAGCGCGGGGCGGCGCACGTGCCCTTGGCGCCACTAAGTGCATGCGCTTCAGCGTCCAATCGACGGCGTTCACTCCCATATCCCCCTGCCGGTTCTTCGGCCCGTGCATTCCTTCGCTTTGCACTCTTTCGAACGTCCACCTGACCTGAGACCGCAAAGGTCATGAATCCCGGATAAACACACCAAAGGTCCGCCAGCCTGCCCTAGGGCACCGCGGGCGGAGCCAAACCCAGGCCGCCACACGGTGGGAGTCTTTCGTCAAATTGGCGGTCTTTAAAACCCATGGAGTATCAGAAAGTCCAGCTAAGGAAGTTAAAAACGCAGTACGTAAGTAGCGGCTGGGAATCATGGAATTTGCAGCAGTTCTGTGTCCCATATGTTTGATTTAGAATGCATGTGTTATGACGTGTCTCGCTAAATTTACTGCGTGCCAACTATTTTTGCCGGCCGGTGCGAAGGCAGCGGGAAGCAGAAGGAAGTCGCGGGCCGAGGGCGGTGTTCTGTGCGGTGTCGGGGCGTGTGGACGGGATGAAGTGCGAGGAGTGTTAGGTGCTGCGCGAATGCGAAAAGTTAACACATTCAGACCTTGGAAACCCACGAGGTGAGTTTGATTGCAATAATAGAAACCTGAGGTTGCGCTCTGAATCAGCTGGGTGTGGTGAAGTCTGGATTCCTGCCAATTTGCGCCGGCTGGCTGCCAGCCTCTGGCGGAAGTGAGGAAACGATCACAGTGCGCTTCTCCCCACGAAGGGACTACAAATTTTTGTCATGCAATCTTTGGGATGTATGCTGATGCTATGACTTACGGAAAAAATGTATGCAAGTTCTTGCCTGCAGGATAGGCATGGGAGCTAACTACTTGGGCTTTGGGCCTAGCCTCTGCATTGCAACCTTTGGAAAAGCTGCGCCCTGTAAGGTCTTTGGCCATTGCCATGCGGGGAAGGACCCTCAAAAAGGTATTGAAGTCACCGCCGCAATGTTCGTTCGTCTGTGCCTACTGTGGTGGCAATAGGGAGTGACAGACTGCCTTTCGCCTGCGGTCGCCGCGATCACACGCGGCGCCCGTGGGGGGGGGGGGGAGGAGGGGGCCTTGAGCGCGAAGGTCATGCATACAGAGGCTGAAGTAATGACCTTTATCAACTTCAAAGGGCGATTAGAGCACCATCTTGTGCTGTGTCGTCTCTTTTGCCGCCAGTTACTCTCTGGTGCGACAAAAATAGTTGTCTGTACCTCCGATCAGACGTTTTTGACAGCTCGTCCCATGTTAAAAACAGCTTACATTATCAGTCATCTTCTTTTTTAGATTGGTCGTGCGTTTGTCAATTTAAAGCTTGCACATGGGCGCAACAGTGTAACGACGTCTGTGAGTTCGGGGTGTGTGTTGGGGGGGGGGGGGAGAGGGGAGTAATCAGGGTTGATGTCTGAAATTGAAACATGGAGGCAATACCCTGACATAAAAATGACATTTTGAGCGGTGGAAAACGTAAAGGGTACAGTCTTTAGCAAGACTATGGAAGCCAAGTCACACGTCGTAAAAAAAATGGTGGAAGCGTGCCCCCACTGCCACTAGCCCCTTCCCTCGGTAAATACACCAATGGTCTTGCATGCATGGCCATGGGCTGCAATTGGATGCTATGATATTCTTCCACAGTCGTGGAGGGCAGACAATAACCAGGGTCTTTAGCAAGCATTTCAGTGTTGTGTTTTGTGGTGCCCTGTGCATAGGTGTAAAAACGTAAAAACTGGAGGAATCGCCCCCGCCCCCTTGTTCCGAAGTCTGTGCCTCGGGCTATCGGTTGGCGGTCAACGCTTCCAACACCTTAAAGAGCAAGTCCCACAGGCCTGTGGAAACCAGTCTCCATGAGGATGCGGTTATTTTTTAGTTGTTTCTTGACTTAGCCTTTGAGGATCTGAGGCCAATCGTCCGGACGTTGGAGGCTCGGCGCCTCAAGCTCGATCTGAGCCCCATCTCTGAATCATCATCCATTTTGCTCGTACCAAGTGGATGCGCCCCGCCCAGATACGGGGTCCAGGTGCGTGCTTGTGTTATTATGTTATTGCTTCCTCGCTATATTATTGCGTGCTCGAAGTATAATCATGGACAGGTGTCAACGTACCCCGATCTGTTTGTGACACAGCCTATGGGTGACATCAATACCCGCATGTATTGTTTGCCCGTACCTCGTCCCCTCCCGGCGCGGTAGGAGCGAAAGGGACTCGCATGTCGTTTATGGTTCCTAAGAAACCTTGGGCACTTCGAATTCTCTTCGAAAACGGAAAACCACACTGCGTAAAGCGTCATGTATTTCGCAGAGGACCTGCAGTCGTACAATTTCTGCGTGACTGTCGCCTTTCCCAGGCGCATGGGCTCGGTCTGCTCCCCCATACCGCAATGCCTCTCCCCCTACGCCCTCGCCGCTCAGCTGGCGCACGGGTCAAGGTCAGTCAAGGTCAGACGCCTGCCGCCGTCGCCGCCCGCCCGATTCAGGCTGGGCCACAGGCAGCCAACCGAGAAGGCCAGGAGCGTGACAGACCGTGGGCCGGCCACCCACGGCCCGCCAGGGCCGCGTGCAGGGCTGGGCGCTGGGGAGAAGCACAACGCGTGCACAATTTGACGGAAGCTTAACCTGGTGCTGTCGATATTTGGTGCCGTTTGACGTTTGGACGGAATGTTGTGAGGAAGTAATTACGCACCAGGACAAAATTGCCACTGTAATTACGTCCTGCGGAAGCGGATTGGAGCGACGTGACCTGTGGCCAAGCGGTGTTCGCCGCGCTGTGGTCGATGCCCGCCGTCCTGTTCACACCGCTGGGCGCGCCCCTGGCACCAGGCGGGTGTTGCTTTCTGGCCGCAGGTGAGTTATGGCGTGGCGCTGCTGCCAGTGTCTGGGAGTGACCTCCGCTATTGCAGGGGCACGGTCCGCGGCGGCGAGCGCGGTGAGGGGGGAGGGGGTGAAGGATAGCCAGCGAGCCCGGGGGACAGGGGTGGGGGGGGGGGGGGGGGAGGTCAGAGGAAGCCAGCGAGCCGGGGGCGCGCTGGTCGAATGGTGGTGGACTTCTGGCTCGTATGTGAGAGTCCGGGTGTGGATGCCCTTTCGCGCCATGTGGGCGAGCATGACCTCTGACCTTGTACCTGCGCTGTCGCTTGCCCTCGTGTGAACAGTTCGCGTCTGAGTGCGTCGCGGTCCGCTTTGAAGAAAAAGCATGCGTAGGGAAACGAACCAGGAGTCGGGCGATCAGGAAGTCCCGCAGGGAACCAGAGATCCTGCGCTGTCGGGGCAGAAGGAGAGCCCCTCTGGCACTGTACGGGGCCATTTCACAGTCAGCGACCGGAGGGGTTAAAAGTGCCCTTGCACATGGGTGCATGGATACACATGGGTCTGTACACCCATGTTCTGTTATCCGAAGACCTGATCGCTGGAGCGGACAACATAAACTTCGATCGGTGGCCATTGTCAATCGTGCCGCGGCCCCGCCATCGGTGGGCTGATATCTGTGACCTGTCTGGTGACGTCACGGGTCATGTGGCGTGCTTTACAGACTTTCGGAGCAGTTCAAGTGACTTCAGGAACCTCTAACACTTGTAATATTAGCTCGCACTTTTAGAATTGACACCAAACGAAAGAGCGCATTCTTGCGCTTTATAATCCTGTCGTGGTGTTGTCGAAGGTCAATATTCATGGTCATGTCAGGTTAAGGTCGGGCCATCTCGCCATGTGTGGTTTTCTGGTCTTCCGGTCCACATGATATACCGAGTTGTCTTGCCGGGATTATAGGTCATGTATATATATATATATATATATATATATATATATATATATATATATATAGATATAGATATAGATAGTCACATATGTATGTATATAGATAATTATGATCTCCATAGAAGTAATGGTAAGCTATATAGACTTACAAATAGCTGATGCGCGGGACGAGTCAGTTTGGTACGGCACACATGGCTGACCTCATACATGACCTCAGATGATGGCCTGCTGTTACCTCATGCAGTGCGTTGCCTTCACAAATGACGTCATTGGTGAGCCAGCTGACCTAACAGCAGCTTGTGTTGGATACCATGCGTCAAATTACCACCTGACGGGTAGTGGATGTTTGGCGGCCCTCCCTGCGGCGGGTTTCAGGGTATTCCAGTGACTTGGAGGGGAGGATTTTTGCACTGTAGGCGGCCGATACAGCGGTTGTGTCACGGTGTGTCACAGTCGTGTCGCAACCGTGTCACAGTCGCGTCAGTCGTGTCGCAGCCTTGTCACAGTCGCGTCAGTCAGGCCGCAGTCGTGTCACGGTCGCGTCACAGTCGCGTCAGTCATGTCGCAGCCTTGTCACAGTCGCGTCAGTCATGCCGCAGCGGTGTCACAGTCGCGTCAATCATGCTGCAGCCGTGTCACAGTCACAGTCGTGCCAAGTTGCAACCTGCTCAGAAAGCAGTTACGATGAAGGGAAATATTACCACCATGTTGAGCGTGATCCTCGATTTCGTCACTTCCTCCACTGTTTGTATTACACCCTGCGATTCTAGGCGATCGCATTCCACGGGATTGGCCTCAAACATTTCACCAGTGAAGAGGACCGGTTGTGAGCTATGCGGGGTCGGCCCCACTCCGCCGTGTCAACACTGCATTCTGAGCAGCACGGTCCGGTTCGAGAGCTTCATCCAGAGGCGAGACACGCCGGCGACTGGTGGGGCAAGTGTGAGGTCGCTCTTTTACGAAATGACGTCACTATGATGAGATCACCGGTCCGTCGCTGCTGTCGGCGTGGGCTGAGTTTGGCTGACCTTGTACGGTAGACCAATCCTGCACCGATCATATTGGGCAGTGGCGTTCTCTTGCCTGAATGACGGGCATTCTGGTTGTCTGGACGGCTGTCTTCCCCGGTGCTGGTCATAACACGCCAAGTGTACCATTCACGCACTTCGCGCGGACGCGCCTTTCGTTGCCACGAGCGAACGCTGGGGCTCCTGACGGGTAGCACTGCAGTTTCGCACGCCTCTGCCACTGCCAGAGTCAGCTATTCCGCTGTCTTGTTGTCAGTCAGAGTCAGGTATTCCGCTGTCAGCTATTCCGCTGTCCGCCGCTCCGCGTCTTGTGTGATTGGCGGACGGTTGTGTTCAATATGCCGTTCTCTCTTACCGGGGTGATGCTGTGCTCACGGCGAAGGGTGGTGCTTTACTCACGGCGAGGGGTGATGCTGTGCTCACGGCGAGGGGGTGATGCTCCGCTCACAGCGAGGGGTGATGCTGCGCTCACGGCGAGGGTGTGATGCTTTGCTCTCGGTGAGGATGTGATGGTTTGCTCACGACGAAGGTGTGATGCTTTACTCACGACGAAGGTGTGATGCTTTGCTCGCGGCGAAGGTGGGATGCTTTGTTCACGGCGAGGGTGTGATGCTTTGCTCACGGCGAGGGGGTGATGCTGTGCTCACGGCGAGGAGCGTTAGTCATCACCCGGTATGTGGGCCCAACTGACGTCAAGATGTTTGCAACGAGTTTCGGGCCGACTTCCAGGGGTTTCGCGGCTTTCTCCTTAGCCAAGTTCCTTGCTGTTGATCTGATCTATGTCAGCGGAATTAGGCGGCGTCAGTGGT